GCATCCCTCATACTCCAGTTCACCCAGCCTGTTACATTGGTACCAGTTACCCTGTCAAATCTTTAGCATATGCCCTAAATCACATGACTTGCTAGAAGTGACATCATTTCCTTGGAGGAAAAGCAACTCCAAGAACAAAGGAAGAATGGGCCATAAACTTTTCTGTCTTCCTCATTTTTAGAAGACTTATCTAAAGCGTAAAACACAACATGTGCAGCCGGTTGTGTCACTTGCACTGGAGATGAAAATGTTTGTTTATTGTTTTAAATATATCCGAAACGGAAATATTCTGCTAGCATGTTATTCTTTCCTAGCTAATAATTGGCTTCATAAGCCTAAAACGCCCTTCCTTTTGTTAAAATGTCATGGGTGGACAAACTTCATAGAATGTGAATGGGAAATCTTAAATATATGGACGGAATTATTAGGTTATACTAGCGTGTTTTAGGACACTTTCCAATTTTAGCCAACACAAATTGGGGATTTTAAAGCTTTATCAACAAACCTGCTCAGTCCAGAAATCCACCAAACTGTAGCAATTTGTGTGGAAAAACTAGAAAAATTTAATTATAATTTTTACTTGTCCTTCAACCCGCAGTAGAAAGGGTCCAAATAATATTCTTCAAGTTTTAAAGAATGTTCCAAGAAAGTGAAAGTGTCATTTTCTGTCTCTAACATCGCTTATTAAATGCCATTAGGCTAGACAGCAGATTGATTGATTTGGACTGGATGCTGACGACAGCAGAAGACAGTCTGTCCTTCTTGTTGAGTTTGCATGCATGTTATTAATCTGTAAGTCCTGGATTTCAATCATCCACCGTTCTACAATTCAGCTTTTGGTCAACTTTTAGACAATCTGACCAACGATGGCGGCTAAATACCTGGCTCAGGGAAACAGATCTGTAGAGACCCACTTAAAACCAGATGAGAGGAACCAGTCTTTGTCATTTGGGGAATCTTCTTAGCATCACGGAGACATGTTAACAGGTTCAGTGCCTGAGTGCTTATCGTCAAACGCCGCCAGATTTGCGAGTGGGTAATCTTCTGCCACTGAATGTCCCTCACCCGTCGGTGGGATTGGAGGGATATTCTCTGTGGTTTTCGTGGATGTTCTTCAGTTCTGTAGCCATAAGCGCCTCTCTTTCTGACAGAAAGTGCAGATGCTGTTGCACAAGTTTGATCAGCCTCTGAATGCAGACGTCCTCTGATGAAGTAAATCTTGAAGCAAACACGTTTAAAGCAGCTGACGAAATTTTATCCAAGATGTCTTAAAAGTTAGTAAGAGACTTCAGCGCATGAATAGATTGATTTCGTTTCAGAGGAACGAGCTGTAACTTTCTTGTTACTCATTTCTATTCATGTTCAAAATTAGGACATTTCAGTAATTATCCATTAAAAAAAAAACGGTTAATTCAATCAATATAGATGTCGTGCCCTTGAGAAAGACACTCACATGGGAAAACTTTTAAAGTTTGTCCTGGTTTGACAGGAAGAGATTGTCCAACATCTAAACCACGGATTGATCTGATATCTGTGAAAATAATCAACTGATGTGAAACTGATCAAACCATGCAAATATTCAGATTAGGGGTTGTAATTTTCCGATTAGCTTTACATTTTTGTGTGCAATCTACAGTATATCTTAAAAAAGGGAAAGAAAATCTAACTTTTAATCAGCAAAAGTGACAGTAACGAAAAAATATCAAAATATAAATTGATTTCCACAAAAATATGAAGCTGCACAATACTTTTTAACATTGATAATAATCAGGAATGTTAGAGTATCAAATCATCATATTAGAGTGATTTCTGAAGGGTCATGTGACACTGAAGACTGGAGTAATGATGCTGGAAATACAGCTTTGAATCAAGGGAATAAATTACGTTTGACTCTATATTAAAACAGGGAAACCGTTATTTTAATTTGTAATAAAATTACCGAAACAACAGTCCAGTCCGTCATTGATCCTTCCTTTCACAAAACATTTCCTTCGACTTTTATGGTCATTTATTTAATGTTTTAGTTTATTTGATTGTTTTAAGTTGCTTATAAAAATGTAAAGCTCTCAGTTTAATTCTGTAGGATTTCCCACAAAATCAGCAGAGAGAGAAAATGAAGGAACGGTCTCTTCCACCATCTGTATTTGACCAGAATATCGTCTCAGTGGGAAACTTTGTTGAAGACCTCGGCTGGTCCTGTAATTAACATTGATTGTGACTTTGATTTGCTTTCTGGGGAATTGGAAATGTGCTCATCAAGACCGGTTCAGACATCAGCGTATTCTGTCAGTTACTGAACCTCATTTACACACCGTCTGTAAGAGCAGCCCAGTTCTCTATCACAAAAAAAAAAAAAAACTTGCTGATAATTTACTCACCCCCATGTCATCCAAGATGTCCACGTCTTTCTTTCTTCAGTCGAAAAGAAATTAAGGTTTTTGATGAAAACATTCCAGGATTTTCTCCATATAATGGACTTCATTGGGAACCAAACGGTTCAAGGTCCAAATGAGAGTTTCAGTGCAGAATCAAAGGGGCTTTAAACGACACCAGATGATGAATAAGGGTCTTATCTAGGACCTTTCGAGTCATGACTCGAAAAAAGATTCGTTCATTTTGATGAACGAGTTCGAACACGAACGCTCATCACAGAACAGAGCAAGGCAAGCATTTGTGCTTATAAAATTTAAACTTTTTAATTTATTTATTAAATGAGTGATCGTTTCGCTAGTTAAGATCCTTATTCATCGTCTGGTGTCGTTTAAAGCCCTTTGAAGCTGCACTGAAACTCTCATTTGGACCTTGAACCGTTTGGTTCCCATTGAAGTCCAGTATATGGAGAAAATCCTAGAATGTTTTCATCAAAAACCTTCATTTCTTTTCGACTGAAGAAAGAAAGACGTGGACATCTTGAATGACATGGGGGTGAGTAAATTATCAGCAAGTTTTTTTAAAAGTGAACTACTCCTTTAATTACATGCAGGTATCTTTTAATATAAGTACAATGTAAAAACATATATTATTGTATCTCATGATTCATTTAGTCGAGAAAGACACTTGACCAGTGGTCATATCATAGTATATGTCAAGTATCACATACAATATATTATACACTCTAAACAACGCTGGGTTGTTTTAACACAAATTTGGGTCAAATATGGACAGACCCAATTTTTGGGTTAAAAATGTCATTTAAAATTTTAACCCAACACTGTAAAAATGAATATGCTTTATCTAATAAAATTGTGGCAACAGATTACAAGCAATAATATTTATTAAATTGAACAAATTAGAAGTGAGTAATAGTTAATCAAATTAATATTCTAATTAATTCTAATTTGTACAATTTAATTAATAATATTGCTTGTAATATGTTGCCACAATTGTATTGATTAGATAAAGCATATTATTTTTTTTCAGTGAACTTCAACTTTCACTTTGTATTTTTTTAATTACATTTTTAACCCAACACATTTGGGTTTGTCCATATTTTACCCAAATTTGGGTTGAAACAACCCAACATTTTTTAGCGTGTGAATGCCACTCACACAAATGAAGCTGATTGCCCCAGAACTCTTCTGATTGGTCTGTGTCCGATCTGCTCTAATAACCATTACCATATAATTACAGACTAGACTCAATGTTATCATTCCTCTCCCTCTCTCTCTCTCGTTCCCTCTTTCTTGCGTCTCTCTCCGTGTCCCTCAAAGGAAAGGTCCGATGTAAAATGGGTCACTCTCACACCCTGGAGTGTATGTTGAAAGCGTTCGGGATCTATTAACAGGCATCTTCCTCCCCAGCCTCTTCTGACCCCGATAACAGGCTTTTTTATTTTTAATTGTCATGCCAAGAGAATTCCAACATACATTGTAAACCGTCCAGCCCTTCGATAACCAGATGCCTTCCCTCTGGCTTACATATGAAATTTGTATTATAGTGTTTAGCATGCTCATAAACACAAGTTTTCATGTGTGTTTCATCATCTTTAGGTAGACTAACATGACTAACCTACAGATAACTAACCTGAGATAAGCTAAAACATACCAACAATTAATTTCAACGTTCATTTCGTTTCGTGTCTTAGGCCATCAATGTGTACTTACATTTACGAGTCATTAAATCATGTTTAATTTGGACTTCTCTGTGTATGCTCTTTGAGGTGGTGACCATAGACCTCCATTATATGACTGACAGACAAAAACGGTTTGACCTAAAAATATCAAAATGAAAACGACTGCAGAAACAAAGACACCTACATCTTGGATGCCCTTGAGATAAGCTAAGACATACCAACCAACATTTAATTTCAAGGTGAACTATCCCTTTAAACTAAAGAAGTCGGAGGGTCTTCATTAGTTTAAGGCCTGAGAAAACAATGGCTGCTTTCGGTCTTCATGAGACTTCAAAGCTGTGCGCTGAAGGAACAGAGTTCTGCTTTGTTGTGGAAACCGCAGATGTTGCTCTAGTTTTAGAAACCCTTATAAGTACTTCAAGAGGCATTGAGCCTCCCACACGCTGTCCTTCGCTTTCAATGGATCGGCAGGTTTCCATGCTGTTCCTTTTAAGACTTCTTTAACGTCTAAAAATCCTGTAAAATTCATACTTTCACAAAAATACTTGCAGACGAATAAAAATATATACTATACTATTAACATTTGTAAGTTTTGTATGTGAGCTCTGAAAACCTGTGGATTAACTTTATCCGACCAAAGAAAACAGGTATGCATTTCTACAGCCTCGTAGACATAAGCAACAATTACTATCTCCTTATTATTTCTTTGATCCATTCACAGTCCTGATGAATTAATTGCACCTCCTTCATCTCTCCCCATCTCGAATAATCAATTCTTTTATTTTCCAAAGCAGAAAAGACTTGAGCTCTTCGTTATTCTGTGATGATTGGGCAGCGCTAATCTTCAAAGGCAAAGCGCTTCGTTCTGACTGGCTGGAGTTCTGATCAAACTCAATGAAATGATGCCAGTGCGTTCACTTTGCTACAGGATTATCCCGTGTGTTGCACGGCATCGAGAAGGCAGATCGAGAAGTCTTCATTGGTGTGGCACAACTGTGGACGCCATAATGCGCAATGACCCACTGCAAGCTTTCCTTCAGGTGCGTTAAATGATTTTCTCTGATATGAATTGTGTAAAACTTGTCATTTTGATGTCCTGCATGCTGATTTGGGAGGGATTCGTTATTAGACTATAAGCATTCACTTTGGTTCTCACTCCTTAAATCTCCTTAAAGGGATAGTTCACCCAAAAAAAGGAGATTTGCTGTTAATTTACTCTCTCTTTGGCCATCCAAGATTTTGATGAAGACATTCCAGGATTTTTCTCCATATAATGGACTTCAATGGGAACCAAACGGTTCAAGGTCCAAAAGAGAGTTTCAGTGCAAACTGCAAACTGTTCAAAGGGCTTTAAACGATTCCAGACGATGAATAAGGGTCTTATCAAGCGAAACGATCAATCATTTAAAAAATAAATAACAAAGTTTACGTTTTATAAACTCAAATGGTCGCCTTGCTCTGTTCTGTAACGCATGTTCGTGACTCTCCTGTTCGAACTCATTCATCGAAATGAACGAGTCAAAATCTTTTTCCGAGGCATTTGGTTCATTCAACGAACGAATTGACTCGGAAAAAGATTTGTTCATTTTGATGAACGAGTTCGAACAGGAGAGTCACAAACGTGCCTCACAGAACAGAGCAAGGCGACCATTTGAGCTTATAAAACTTAAACTTTGTTATTTATTTATTAAATGAGTGATCGTTTCACTTGATAAGACCCTTATTCATCGTCTGGAATCGTTTAAAGCCCTTTGAACAGTTTGCACTGAAACTGTCTTTTGGACCTTGAACCGTTTGGTTCCCATTGAAGTCCATTATATGGAGAAAAATGCTGGAATGTCTTCATCAAAAACCTTAATTTCTTTCCACTGAAGAAAGAATGACATGGACATCTTGGATGACATGGGGGTGAGTAAATTATCTTTTTAAAAGTGAACTACTACTTTAACAGCAAATTTAAGATTTTAGGTGAACTATCCCTTTAAGGGAGACATCATAAATGTGCCAGAAACAGGACTGAGAGTGCCAATCATTCAAGCATAAATATATACTATAAATATGGTACTATATTAAAGCTTTCAAGCTTTCTTTTATATGTTTGACGAGGCAAAAGGTTTGATTTTTTCAACCGTGAAACCAAGTGGATTAACTTTATCCAACTAATATGCAGTACCCAAAGAAAATAAGCATACATCCAAAATGTGCCAGAAACAGGACTGAATTAAAGTGCCAATAATTTGTATCACGAGCTTCCTGTCGCGTAATGACGTATGTGCGGGAGCTTCTTAAGACCTCAATGTATCCTCATAAATTAAATGCATTGATATTTCATAGGATCGGACTCCAGAATCCATCAAAGGATCCCCCTTGATGTTGCTGGAAGACACCTGCAATCGCATCAGCCATTCCTGTGCGTCCGGATCCACTCGCGTCCCGTATGAAGGTTCACCACCCGAGCTCTTCCACCCCTGGAGAAGTGACGCCTCCACACATGCAGCATTCTCCTCTGATTGGCTGTCCCGGCACATCCAGACCTCATTAAACCCACACCACGACGTGCCACCGACACACTATGACTTCTCGCCATTGGAGATGTTGCCTTGTCCATCATCCTCCTCATACGCTTCTCTTTCAGCTTACGGACCCACACACACTGGACTTGTGCATCATCCGCAGAGACAATTGGCTCGGGAGGATATGCAATGGTGGACCAGTCACTCCTCAACACATCATTTTCAGCAGATACAGCAGTACCAGGCCCGAATCGCCACCCTGCTCAACTCCAAGTCTCGGAAAAGCCGGAGATGCACGTGCCCAAACTGCCAGAAGAGCACGGAAGCGTCGGGCAGGAGAAAGCAGCACGTGTGCCACGTGCCGGGCTGCGGGAAGGTGTACGGAAAGACGTCGCACCTGAAGGCACACCTGAGGTGGCACACGGGAGAGCGGCCGTTCGTGTGCACCTGGATGTTCTGCGGGAAGAGCTTCACGCGCTCCGATGAGCTCCAGAGACACCTGCGCACACACACCGGAGAAAAACGCTTCACCTGCCCGCACTGCAACAAGCGCTTCATGCGCAGTGACCATCTGGCCAAACACCTGAAGACACACCTGATGAGGAAGAGCAGACCACTGTATCCCATGCTGGACCACATTAGCAAAACCCTTGAACAGAAGTCTTAGCATAACATTAAAACTGGTCATAAATTGGACAATACCGATATGGTGTCCAATGTTGTGCATCCCTTAATAATTTCACATTGATGTGTGTTACCCTTTACTTTTTTGCTGTTTCAGAAATAGTTTCAGTTTTTTTTTTTTTAAATATAGCAGGACCACTAAGATGTGTTACAACAACATGCTCAAAATGTGTTAAAATTAATGTTCAAAGCTTTTGTGTATTGTCAGGACTCTTAAGGAAATTGTCTATACAGACCTCAAGAAATATTAAAAAATAATGTTGCAATCGACCAGTTTCCCCTATGCAATATGATCTCGGTGAACAGGCAAAACCCTAACTAAAAATGTTCATTGATAATTGCCTTCTTTTTCAAAAAGACATTACATTTATGTACACATTTTGTTGGCTAGGCCTAATCGTTTGCACAATTTTAGTCACTTGGAAGTTAAAATACTCATTGAACAATAAGTATAATAGCCTAATGTTAGTGTATATTGTTGGTTATCATTATTGTTGTTAAAAATGAATACATTGTTGTATGCTGTTACAATTTGTGTAAAACAATGAGCAAGTGTCACGCAAGAAAGACGTTGGTTCCGGAAGAGCATGTTGCACTCGGATTATTTGGAGGTGACGCCTCCAGTTGCGATGGAAACAGCACGCCTGCCCTCTCAAACTGCGACAGGGCTTCAGAAAGTCAAAAGAAACTTATGAAAAGTGTCACTGTAGGCCTTACATTTTATGAAAGACTTTACAATTACCCGTTCAGCTCTCAATTACAGTCGATAGATCCTATCAAATAAAGCACAGATGAACAGGTAAGGACGCTCATATATGGCATTTCAAACTTATTTTAACGTTACATGTTTTATATAAGATATTCTACGTTATTTTTCAAACATTTAATACTGTTTTTTTACATATAAAACATTCGCTTTGTTGTCTGTAAACGTTGTGACTGAAAGTGAATAGAGCCTTAAAACATTCAACAGATTCTTGAGTTACAGGCATCACCTCAAGTCTTAAAGGGATAGTACACCCAAAAAAATAAAATTCTGTCATTCCCTGGTGTAATTAATAGTGTAGTTTAGCCTTACAAACAAGACTTTCGTTCATCTTCTGAATACAAATTAAGATCTTTTTGATGAAATCTGAGATCTTTCTGTCCCTCCATTGACAGCTACGCTATACTAACATTGACACTTTAATGCTTTAAAAGGTGCATTAAGAGTTTGTAAAACTAGTCCACATTAATTGAGTTATTTACTCCAACTTTTTTAAATTCAGGCTTTTATTCAGATTAATCAAGTTACACATCAGCTGTGGTAAACAAGCTCAAGCATGTTTGGTGCATGGTTAACATATGTAAATAATCTATAAATTAAAAAAAAAAAAAACCTAAATTACCTGTAAATAAAAAACCTAAATTAAATCTCTTCATCATATAAAGTGATTGAGTCTCTTCAGAAAATTTGGACTAAATCGTTCAATTCATATGGATTAGTTTTATGATCTCTTTTTTTAACTTTTTGAAGCATCAAAGTGGCAGTTGCGTAGCTGTCAACGGGACTGAAAGCTCTCAGATTTCATCAAAAAGATATTCATTTGTTTTCTGAAAATGAACGAAAGTGTTACAGGTTTGAAGCGACATGAGGGTGAGTGATTAATGACAGTATTTTCATTTTTGGGTGAACTAACCCTTTAAGAATAATACACCTGACTGTCTCTATACAGTGGCTTTACTCTGTCTGCATTTCTTTAACATCATTTTAAATATTTGATTATTATTAATGCTAAGATTACAGTGTGTTGGGCGGCCGTCAGAAGTCTCGTCAAAAGACAATGATAAGGTTTGTGTTGTGGTTATATATGGATATTGTGCTTTATTTCATATCATGTGACAAACTATAGTGTCTTGATCATTTTGACTTTAGTCTTGTTCACATTTAGTGTTTTTTTTTTTATTTCTAAAGGAGGTTGCGCCCTTAAAACCAATGATTGGCAGCTCAACAGGTACAATATCATTTATATCAATACAAATCCACTGTAGCAACGCAGTTAACACGCACATGACGACAGTCTGCTTTGGTTTCCGGGTTATTTTTCTGCAAGGTTGAATGACTTTATGTCCTTTGTTCTGTAGATCCAGTGGCAAAAGAATCAGTGGAATGGAAACCAGAGTAGGTTTAGATTTTCAGATTATCTTTTGGATATTATACTGTATGCTTTATAGTAGGGGTCGACCGATTATTGGCCTGGCCGATTATCGGCACCGATATTAAGCATTTTTATGGTTATCGGTATCAGCCATTTTCAAAACCGATTTGCCGACAAAATAATTTTCATATCATCATAGACACACGGAAACTCAAAGATCTCCAAGGCAACACGTCAAAATAAAAGTTCGGTTTTTCACAAAGCCCTAAAAATGCAATTTTTGTTAAACCGTAAATAAATTGAATAAGTTTGATGATTTTAATTAATTAGAAATGCTTTTCGATTACTAAAATTTTATTTAAACATTAAAATAGAGTTGATTTGAATGTTTACAGAATGCTGCTGAGTGCTCCATGAACTTTTTTTTTTACAAGTTATTATTATTTTTAATAACAGTTCTCAGATTCAAAGATATGTTTAAAATCATTTAAAGAAAGTTTTTGGCAAAATCATTTTTTATTCTTAATTTTGACATTATTTTGACACAAAAAAGTTTTTGTTTACATGATATATGTGGGTGCACTGTGTATAATTATTTTGTATGTAAATAAATACACACACATGCATGTATATTTAAAAAAAATACTATTTATATATAAAATATTCATATTTATATATAATATAAATTATATATAAATCTATATAAATGAAAATATTTGTTAAATATATACAAGCATGTGTGTGTATTTTTATATATATATAAAATAATCATACCAGTGCACCCACATATATCATGTAAACAAAAACTTTTATTTTGGATGTGATTAATCATGATTAATCATTTAACAGCCCTAATATATACTGTATGTATATATATATATATATATAAAGAGGTCAGATGCAAAAGCCTCTAAGTGCCATTTGAAATTTTCTTCTAAAATGATCATTTTCATCAAGCTTGTATATTTAAGTTCAGTAATTTCACTTAAATGACAATGAAGATTACCTATGAATTACCATTTAAGTGAAATTACTGAACTTAAATATACAAGCTTGATAAAAATGATCATTCTAGAAGAAAATTTCAAATGGCACTTAGAGGCTTTTGCATCTGAACTCTTCATATATATATATATATATATATATATATATATTATATATATCGGTTCAAAATATCGGTTATCGGTCTATTTGATCTGTAATAATCGGTATCGGCATCGGCCCTGAAAATCACATATCGGTTGACCCCTAATGCTTTAGTTGCTTTAAAAACCACATTCACGTCAAATGCATTTGGTGCTTTGGTTTGATTTATGTATAGGCAGCAGAAACCAAAACCCAGCGGGAGGACAAGAGGACAGGATGTATCTCTAAACTATGAGACAACAAATATCAAAGCTCCAAGTTCCACAAGGTAAAACATAACAGTGGTGATCAATGAACATGAATTGCCCATGCAGCTCTCAGTCGACAGGTAACATTGTAAAAGCCTCACAATATATACAATTAAACTGCATAGATGCTCTAGAATATACAAAGTTGTGTCATATTCTTCAACATTGTCAGTCATATGTATTACCATGCCAAACCCTCCTAGAGTTGTCATGACAGAATTACACTTTAACAATCATTTAAATGCATTGGTTTGATTTTGTGTAGGCAACCGAAAGCAAAACCCAAAGAGCAGGATCCCTCTATGAAGAAAGAAGGCAATCCTTCCCTGAACTCTGAAACATCAAGTACCTCACACAATTCCAAGAGGTAAAAGCATTTGATATCTGACAATAATAACTAAAAGCGATATTTCTCTACACTAGATCATTTGGACAGATGCATCATCCTGAGAGGAATATCGAAAAATCCTTATTTTTAATTTGATTGTATCAGTGGCTTTTTGTATTCCGGTCAACATGCTCTTTGGGTCATGCATGGGATGTGGTTTATGGGCCGTACATGCATAAAGCAGGGGAGCTGATGGCATTCATTCGCTCCAGTGATCTCTAATAGTTTACCTTTTATCACCCATTTCTTTCAGCAGCAGAGGGTATAATGCCTCTAAAGCTCCGTCCTTCAGAAATGTAACCACGCATGGACATAAACTACCTAAACAGGTCCCCCCTATGATGACAGGTACTGAATCTGTTTTATCCTATAGGCTGTTTACAGCTGGTATTAAGATGCGCTTTGGTCGATCGGATCACAAGTGGACGACGCTAAATACAGGTGTAAACTGGGTCTAAAACGTTTTGAGCTTGTCAGACCCTTCCAGAGGGAGTTGAAAACGCATCCGTCCGGATTGCTTTCGTAGTGTAAACACTCATGTGGCCGAATGTGTTCAAACAGCCACAAAAGACCGTCTACTGAACTAATCCGTGAACATTATAGGAAGAGCTCTAGCCAGACGGGATTTAACTTTGACGACTGAAGACCCAAGTTTGGTTTGAAGATGAAAAATGCACCAAACACAATGTTCTCTCTCCATTCCTGGTCTCGTGGCTGTCAGCTGCTATTCTCCATGTTTTTCCGTCGTCTCTGGGTGCGTTCAAATGTCAATTCCACAAGCTTATTACCTCCATTACATTTAATGTACACCCATAGATCATTCCCTCGAAGAAATCAGGACAGAAGTTGAAAGTGGAACAAAGAGACGAGTTAAAACACTGGTGTAAACGGGAATGTGTCTCCCTCGTCTACTTGTGATCCGATCGACCAAAACGCATCTTAAAACCAGGAGTAAACAGTGCCTTATTCTTTTTTAAAAGCATTTATGGTTTAATCCATTTGTGTCAGAGTTCCTGAAGCATTTTGTGATGCCCATGGGCTCCAGTACAAATACAGCAGGGCCCAAAAAAGATTTTCTTTTTTTTATTTAAACATTAGAAAAGCAAGGAGAATGTGAAGTCCGGTCAGAAAGTGTGCATGAAAAACACACCCAGACCCCTCAAGTAGTGTCGTCTGCAAATGACCAGGATCCTCATGAGGCCCAAAGTGAAGAGGAAGAGAACGAGAGCGCAGAAGGACATGTGCCTCTAGAACTGTTTGCAGAGGTACACATCATGTTTGTTTGCATTTGACAAAAAACTGACTTACAAAAGCAATGCCCACTAGATTAAGAAGCAAGCCAGAGAAATGCAGGAGAAGAAATAGTAGTTCTGATGTGTTTGAAAATGGCCAACACACTTTTTTTTATTGAAATGCCTATTGAGATGCAGTTCAACAAATGTTCTGTGTGTGTTTCTCTGAGTCCAGTTTCTACAGGCTGTGATGACAAAGAATTATCCTCTCGCCAAGAAGCTCTGTCAGATGAGTAAGCAGCCATTTGAATTAGTATTGTTTCCTACAGTATTGTTATGTGGCATTTCTTACATTGTGATACTAATGTTTTCATCATTCTCATTCATTCTTTAAATGTAGTTTTAATTTATGAGCCCCAAAACTCTGAGGCTAAGAGATTCCTGCCTCTCATTGAAGAAAAGTTACTGACAGGTGAGTTCATATCTATCTGTCTGTCGATCTATCCATCCATCCACCCGTCTATCTCTCTAACTATCTCTCTAACTATCTATCCATCCATCCACCCATGCATCCATCCATCCACCCATTCCACCCACCCTTCCATCCATCAATCTATCCATCCATCCACCCATCCATCCATCCATCCACCCACCCTTCCATCCATCAATCTATCCATCCATCTATCCACCCATTCATCTATCCACCCATCCACCTACCCATCCATCCATCCATCCATCTATCCACCCATCCATCCATCCACCTACCCATCCATCCATCCATACATCCATCCACCCACCCACCCTTCCCCCACCCATCTATCCATCCCTCCATCCATCTACCCATCCCTCCATCCACCTATCCATCCATCCATCCATCCATCTATCATCTATCTACCCATCCACCCACCCACCCATCCATCCATCCTTCCTTCCACCCACCCATCTATCCCTCCATCCACCTACCCACCCACCCATCCATACATCTATCATCTATCTACCCATCCATCCAACCACCCATCCATCCATCTATCCATCCATCCATCCATCCATCCATCTATCATCTATCTACCCATCCATCCACCTACCCACCCACCCATCCATACATCTATCATCTATCTACCCATCCATCCAACCACCCATCCATCCATCTATCCATCCATCCATCCATCCATCTATCATCTATCTACCCATCCATCCACCCATCCATCCATCCTTCCACCCATCCATCTATCCATCCACCCATCCATCCACCCTTCCATCCATCCATCCACCCACCCACCCATCCATCCATCTATCTACCCATCCATCCACTCACCCATCTATCCATCCACCCATCCATCCATCTATCTACCCATCCATCCATCTATCTACCCATCCATCCACCCATCCATCCATCCTTCCACCCACCTATCCACCCATCCATCTATCCATCCATCCACCGATCCATCCATCCATCCACAGTATATACAGTATCTCTATCAATTAATCCATCTATCCACTTTTGACATGGACATTCCAGTTTGTTTTCCAAAGCATTTACATTTTTATGACACTATCTCAAGCTTCACTACAACTTTCCTCTTTAGTGTTTAAATTAACATAGATATATAAAATAACAAAAATGTTTTGTGAAGCACTACAGCCATGAATGAAAATTAAATAAAAACAATGTTCCAAATGGGTAACTTTAATAATGAAATTCAAGTGTGTTGAATTCGCCTTCTTCATCTGGATACCCTCATAAATTCTAGAAGCGGAAGAGGAATCAGATGATGATGATGATGATGAATTTGACACATCTGATGATGATGATGACATTGAAGATGATGACGATGAGTCCACAGATAGCTCTGACACAGACGAAGAGTCCACTGAAAGCACAGACGATACATTATCATCTGAATCATAAATTTCAGTGCGTTTCCCCCAGTCCTATAAGCACGCACTGTATTGTTTTACTATGTCTAATGCTTATAAACAATGTGTGATGTGTCCAGAATATTATGTATGCGCAGGTATGTCAAATACTGACTGGACATTCAATTATATTCTGCGTGAATTGTAATCTAACCCCGGTTTCACAGACAAGCCATAAGCTTAAATGCATATGCACTGGCATATCTTAAAATATGTCAATGCCATTATTTTGTCTCAGGATGCATGCACACCAGCAATGCTTTTTCGAAGACACATTTAGTTGAACTAAGGCCTGATCCTGGTTTACTCTTAGCCCTGTCTGTGAAACCAGGCCTATATGTCTTAGGATAATAAAATAGCTATTCCCAATTATCACTTTTTCTGTTTAGTTGTTCAGATGACGCAAGACATTTTAGCGCCATCTGATGGAGAGAAAATAACACTATAGTTTCACAAATATGACCGAGGCCAGTTGTCACACAATAAGGCTGTATTAAAAAAAGGCAAACAACTATAATATTTTGAATATGTATTTTATTTTGAAGTCTTAAAGTCTTGTCTTAACTTTTTGTTATTTTTTACCGAGACCGAGACTCTAGAGTAAAATGTATAGCCTACCATTTTTCGTAATAGCTGTTGCACAGGTGAACACAATAAAATCGTTGCATGCGTTAAGATAATCTTAATAAATGCAAAGATTTTATTGTGTTTTCAAATGCTTTTTTGTTGTCAGGACTTTAATGTATGCGTCTACAGAAACTGACTATCAAATAAACCGACTGGAGTGAGAAGGTGTGACAACTTGCCCCGGTCTCTTCTTGAGCTGTCAAGGGCTGAAACTGCGGCACTGGAAACCAGTACTGACAAGCTGGATAGGTAGAGGTTAAAAATGAACGATCTTACAGAAATGAACAGAGCAAGTGTTTTTCCAGGGCGCTGCCCAAAATCCTTCATTCAAGTTAAAGTTGGTCTGTTCTCTGTTGCCACCTCGTGGATGTCTTCCAGATGTCTCGGATAGGTGATGACTGGAGCTGATCCACAAGTCGTGCGTTAAATGAAAAAAAGAAAAGAAAAAAAAACATTTTTTTTACATTAGGCTGGAATGCTTTCATTTGTTTATTGCGTCCCTCCAAAACAACATCAATAAAAATGTGAGCTCGTCCTCATGATATATCTGCCTTTCTTTCTCTCTCTCTCTCCCTCTCTCTCTCACTCGCCTTTTTCTCACTCCCACGCTATTTTGACGTGTGTGTATATATTACTTGGAGAATTAAACTTCATGTGTCTGATGATTTGAGTCCATATAATAATCCTCAGAAAGTAGGCTACCGGTGGATATTAACCCGTGGAAAAATACAGCTGAAGTGAATTTGGGAGATTCTCCTGTCGCCTTTTGTAAGGATAAACACTGAATCAGGAATTTGGCGCTGGATGGATTTTTATTTTCTTGTGCACTCTTCTGGTTTTCTAATATCAAGTGTCTCAGCGCCACATCACGCGCTGTGAAACATCCTCCACGTGCCATTTCGTCTGGATTTTACTGTGACACCTGTGACTTCGCAAGGTAAGCACTCACCTTCTGCGTTCTGATCTAAGACATTTTTTTTCTTTTCTACAATATTGGGAAGATAACAATATGAGAAAGAAGAGCATAAACTGAACTATGCCTTTTGTATTCAGTTATAATTAATGCATGTGGAGATTTAAACCACTTTCTGCCCATATTGTGATGTTCATAGGCTACTGGAATGCGTCTGGCAAAATAATGATCTAAAAACATGGTGTAATTTAACACATGAGCAGCGCAATGATTTTTTTTTCCAACTCCGACAGTGATTGATGCGCATTATTTGAGGATATTTAAAGATCATCTTAGGCTAATTGAGAAATCAATAAGTAGCTCCTTTTCTATACATTCTCTCTCTTTTTTTTTTTTTTTTTTTTTTTTTTGGACGAGCATCCTTTAAGCTTCTGACCTTCTGAAAATCATTTGTAACAAAGAAATATTATTTATCATCGTCACCAACACTAATAATAGCCTACGTTCAAATGATTATTTCTACCCTGATTCGTCGCCTTTGTTATGCTGCGGTTGAAGTGAACAGATTCTTCGTTTTAAAAGATTCGCTTTAAAGACCTCGTTACAGAGCCAATTAAGTCAGACTTCACGGTCTGCCGCGCGCTGGAGCTCACAGGGGCGTCTGGAGAGCACAGCCATCCAAAATACCAACTTATATAGGTCGGACTATCTTCAGAACTTACCTACCGTTCTTTTCGTTAATTCTTAGGTGTGTTGTTTTTTTTTCTCTCGTGCTGTAATAATGTGTGCTGATCTGTCAGAGCGCATTTCTGAACATTACAAAACACTGAGCGCGCGCGCGCGTGGCGCGAGACAAATTATCCCGGTGACGCGGAGTGAATTACTGCCATTTCATAAGGAGAATTTGATGCGTGAAATTGTGCTAGAAAAACCCGCTTATTTTTATATAGCTAGTACGCCTACTTTATATGAGATATTAGCCAGTCTTTTTTCAATATAAGCACCTGTTATTTGTGCCATCGCCTTGTTTATCCTAATTTCTACACATTTTCTGTGTGTAGTGTGGGTTTTTTCCTTCAGTCTGAAAGCAGTGAGGTGTTTCTCCAGGACTGATGGCGTCTTCTGCACCTTCTTCCTCGGCTGGTGATGTGGACCCAAACACGGCTAATTTACGACAACCTGCCACAAGTAGGTCTCTCTGGATAACGCGTTTTTCACTTGGCTTGTTTACTCCGTGGGGTGGCGATGTTCATCACTGCCCTGAAAAACACACCTCGCCGTGTGAGATGTCTATTAGCTGACAGCTTGAGAGACAAATAATAAATTATCTTTAGATAGATAGATAGATAGATAGATAGATAGATAGATAGATAGATAGATAGATAGATAGATAGATAGATAGATAGATAGATAGATAGATAGATAGATTACAGTCATGCCAATAAAGCAATTTTGAATTGATATTTAAACGAGAACCGTTTTATTTCAAAAAAAGATTATTGTAATAAAATATTATAGTTTTAATTCTATTTGATTATAGTTTTCGTCATAAAAATGTAATTTCTTCAATTGCAGGGAGATCGGTGTAGCCTATGTAGATATAATAACAATAATAATAATAAAAACAATAATCTTATACCTTTATTTTATTTTTCCTATATATGTTTCTAGCTAGATAGTTTTACTCTCAATTTAGATTACAAATGAAAATAGCATGCAAATTGTATTCTTAATTTTACTCCCAAATAAATGCATCCTGCTTCTGCCTAATTGCATTTAATTATGGTCCCGATCATATAACAATAGCTCTGCATTTTGCCACGTTTTATGGGAGCTTGAAGAACAGCAATCAGCCATCGTCTGCTCTAACAGACCCACCTTAATAGCGCAATTACAGAAATTACCCGCCATCACAGCCCAATTCACATTTTCCTTTGTAAATATGCTGAAAATGCCCGAGTCAAGATTAAAAAAATACATAAAAGAAACTGGTTTGATCAGGTTTAAGATAGATGCAAAATAAATAAAAATGTCGTGCTAAATAAATGTCTTTTAACCAGTCTACCAATGTTTTTATGGTATATAAATTTTGATATAATTTGTAAAAAGCATTATGTGTTGTGCTGTGCTGTTTTGTTGTGTGTGTGCGTGTGCGTGCGCGTGTTTTTGCTATTATCTCCCTGCCAAGCTCTATCTCACGCTCACTGACCTGAGGGGCGCGCGCTGTCTCTGCCTCATCTGACAGCGCGCGCCTGGGGCACATCGAGCTAGATCTGCCCTCAGACAAAACCCACCCCAGAGATAGGCTACAGTCATTTCAAACTATTGATGATAAAAATAAAAATAATTCACCTTCGTTTCTTATCGCTCTATACACACTATTTTGTTTATATAAATATTTGTCCTTGCTGAATGTTGTTCATGTTCAATATGCAAATACTTACTGCTGTGAGTGTGTGTTCATTTGATTTCATTCTCATTGTATCAGCATCCAAACTTTATGGCTGCATCTGTCTGGTCACTAATGCTAGAGGTCATTCGTGTGTTTTTTCGAGTGGTGTATTTCCTCTCTCTAGGCTCACTGTGTGACGGCTGGCAAGTCAAACACAAGCGTTTCACTCAATTAATTCCGAGACCTCATTTCATGCCCGCTTATTTTAAACCGCCTCTTTGCCGGATGTGTGCCACCATCTATTAGCGGCCTGCCTCTCTGAGAGCCTCTATTGATCACTTGACGAAAATCAAGCCCTTTCACAAAACCTGACACATGAGAAGAAGAAAAAAGACACACGTTCGGCAACGACCCGAATCTGTTGCGCACATTCATTGTCCTCTGCGTCAATGCATGTTGACCCTTAATTTTGCGCTTTCTATAGCATCACCATAGCATTAACAATAGAATAAACTCTGGGATGTTGAACAGCTCTCCAAACGTCTCGTTTTAGCCGGCGACGCGTGGTACGGGGTTGCGCACGGATGCACGAGGAAACTGGGCATGAAGATCTGTGGTAAGTTACAGTGCCAACATTATCTCAGTCTTGAGGTCAGTCAAGGTGCCAAAGTGGAGGGCACCTTTATCCATGCTGTTGTTGCCATGTTGACCCTAGGTTTGAATACATATGCCCCAGATATGGAGCACGAGACTGTCGTTGCGTGTTTCCATCACACTAAAGGTCAGCGAGATGCGTTTTACCCTGTAGGCGAGTGTGTGAACAGGGTCTTAATCTTTTGTTCCCCCGTATCACCCCTTGTTCAATCTCATTATTATTTTCTGGACACAAAAAAATAAATAAATAACTGACAAAGGAAGGAATGCAGGCACGATTTGTGTAGGTTGTTAGGCAAGAGAAAAGAAAAATAGCCCGTAGAGAGTGTGAATCATCAGTGTCTGGATGGAAATATTTTCTCACGGTCACTTAGATAGGTTTTCGTAACTGGATTTGATACTCTATATATCAGGAGAAAAAAGGGGCGCCCTGTGTTGCTCTCTATTAGTTTCCTGGTGGGTGGTGCTCTCTCTCTCTCTCTCTCTCTCTCTCTCTCTCTCTCTCTCTCTCTCTCTCTCTCTCTCTCTCGACTTGTCTTTTTACGCCACACTGCTCTTTATAGCCTGCTAAAAGATGTGAAGAGGATTGGGTGTTTTTAAGAGGATGACGTCTGGGAGGATGTGGCCATTCGGACTCGTGCTGAACTTTAGTTTTACTCTTGTGTATCTCAAGGCCAGATCCTCTCGATTTATTTTTACCATGTGTGCTTTTTGTTTAAAAATGAACATGTACTTAGAATTATGCCCTGATTATTGCAAAACCACATTAATCTAAATATGTATCACATGCCAAAGGGGGAAAAAAACTGAATGATCATTCTGTCATTAAAATAGTTGATGTATAAACAATATCTGGCAAACAATATTTACGCGCCCTCAGCTAAATATTCTGCTGTCGTTTGAGCTCATATAAAAAAGCGTGTAAATAATTTGTCAAATTCTTCTATCTATCTATCTATCTATCTATCTATCTATCTATCTATCTATCTATCTATCTATCTATCTATCTATCTATCTATCTATCTATCTATCTATCAATTTGTTTCTAAATGCATATTTATGTTTATTTTTTATTTATTTTGATTAAACTTTATTTTAAGGTGTTTTATGTACTGAGTAATATTAATGGACTAGCCTACATATAGGCCTACGTATAGGGTTAGGTTTTACCTTGCGTGTAATTCTGCATAATTTATTGTTATTATAGTAACTACATGTAACATATGTAACAATGACACTGTAAATCAAGAGATGCAGAAATTGATCTGAATAGACTCATCTTAACGATTTAAAGAAACGAAATGCACCATTGCTCAAATAAAATCATATTTTAATGAGAAGATTCAGCGTAAAAAAACGTAAATAATTAGTTATTTGTATCTTAATTGTAGCTATGCGAAATAAACATGCTCGACGTGGTTGTGAAGACAAAAAAATCCTTTTTTTTTTTTGGGATTTTGAGAAAAAAATCTCAAAATGAGAAAAGCATGAGAAAGGGAGAGAGATTTGGTCTTTAGCATTAGAGAAAACAGAAAAAAAAAACATTTGATAGCCGAAATGAAATCGTGTCGCCTATTGATGTGGAGCGCATCTCCAAAGATTTACGGCATCGAATAGTCATTAGCTCTTATCAGAACCGAGCCTGAATGAGAGATGGGCTGAGGGGGGTATTAACGCAGGCCTGCTGCTGTCTCTGATAATATTGTGCGATAGTCCTGCTCAAAATGAAAGAGATAACACAACCGGGCCCTCGTGACCGAAAGGAAATATGCTGTTAAATATTGAAAAATATTCTTTATAATCTTGCTAACCATCTGTGACCCATGTTTTACAATCAGTCGAAATAATGCATGCATCATGAACGAAAAACAGGCTATTCTGTATTTTTTTTCTTCTTGGTGTTAGACTCTCTTCTCAAGTAGGCTATGTCTTTCTGCTTTGCCTAATCATTGTTAATGTTCATGATCCAATAAAACATCCTCGATGGATCTATTGAATGTGCCTGTCGGCTCTTAATGAGCATCTGGTCAGTCACGCGGAATCTGTGAAGAATGATATAACCAAACTAAAAAAAAAAAAAAAAAAAAAAAAAAAAAAAACACCCTACATGTCCTCTGATGGGACCTCTGAACCGAACCTCAACCAATCCATAAGTAGCGCTGTCCCACTAAAACCCCAGTCACTGGAATCAGCAGGTAGCCTATAAATATCAGCGCGTTGCTTAGGCTATAGGCTATTAAGCAACTGGTTAGAGAGATAGCCTACAACTTTTTTCCATAGCATCCATTATCAAGGCTGAGGATATGTTTTGCAACTCTCCCCCTTGTTGTAATGATGCAGGTTTCCTGCAGAAGAACAACAGTCTGGATGAGAAGAGTCGTATGGTGGGCGCGTTCAAGGAGAGCGCGAAGAACCAGATGACGCGCGACAACAGCGAGCGCTACACACGCGACGAGACGGACTTCTCCAACCTGTTCGCTCGAGGTGAACACACACCCTTCTCGTTCAATCGAGCGCATTGTTACTTCATCAGAAGATATAACAAGTAGAAGTTAAAAAATGCATTATATGTATGGTACCGGTCAAAATTTTGAAACAATATTTTAATGTTTTTTTTTAAGTCTCTGATGCTCATCAAGCCTGCATTTATTTGATCAAAAATACAGATTTTTTTATTTACTGTGAAATATTATTACAATTTAAAATAATGTTGTTCTATTTGCCTGTAATATAATTTATTTCTGTGATGCAAAGCTGAATTTTCGTCTTTGTGTCACATGATCCTTCAGAAATCATTTGATACCGATGCATTATCAGTATTGGAGACAGTTGTGCTGCTTGATATTTTTTTTTTTAGAACTTGTGATACATTTTTTCGAGGATTCTTCGATTAATAAAAAGTGAAAAGAACAGCATTTATTTAAAATGTAAATATTTTGTAACAATACACAAAAGTTTGGGGTCAGTTATTTTTTTCTTTCTTTATTTGAAAGGCGATAAAGGTTTATATTGTTAGAAAATATTTCTATTTTGAATATACGCTGTTCTTTTAACAAAAATCACAAATAAATTAAGCTTCACAACTGTTTCCAACATTGATAATAACTATCAAATATCAAATGAGCATACTATAATGATTTCTGAAGGATCGTGTGACACTGAAGACTGGAGTAATGATGCTAAAAAATCAGCTTTGCATCACAGAAATAAATTATATTTTAAAGTATATTAAAATAGAAAACCATAATCTTAAATTGTAATAATATTTCACAACATTACTATATTTTCTGTATTTTTTTTAACCAAATGCAAGCTTGATGAGCATTAGAGTCTTCTTTCATTCATATGATTGACTAGTGACCTACAAATGTTAGATGAAAAAAAAACAAATTTTACGTGTGGATTCAGACTTTTCACCTCCATCGCTTCAACCTCACTAATATTTCAATTTTACAAATGAAAACACATCTTTACATGCTGCCTCTATTCTAGATCTATTGCCTGCTAAAAATGGCGAGGAACCCACAATCCAGTTTCTTCTCGAAGTGGTGGAGATCCTCACCAATTATGTTCGCAAGACCTTCGACAGATCCACCAAAGTGCTGGACTTCCATCACCCTCACCAGCTCCTGGAGGGGATGGAGGGCTTCAACCTGGAGCTGTCGGATCAACCGGAGTCGCTGGAGCAGATCCTGGTGGACTGCAGAGACACGCTCAAGTACGGAGTGAGAACAGGTACAGGCCAATGACATCACAAACACACATCAGTGTATCTTGAAGACTGGAGGAATGATGCTGGAAATCCAGCTTTGCATCAAAGGAATGAATTGCATTTTACAATTATTTCAAATGTAAAACAATTATTTGAAATGTTAATAATATTTCACAATGTTACAGTTTTTCTGTATTGTTGATCAAATAAATGTAGATGAGCATAAGATATTGATTTCAAAAACATAAAAATGAATCCAACCCCAAACTCCTGAACAGCGGTGTATACATATAAAGTATTTCTGATCTGGTTGATTAATGTAATGATATTAAAGAGTATTTACTTGCACTTCTGTTCTTATAATTCCTCTAAAATCTCTTCTCAGGTCATCCTAGATTTTTCAACCAGCTTTCATCTGGACTGGACATCATCGGTCTTGCTGGAGAATGGCTCACCTCTACTGCCAACACCAACATGTGAGTTATTCAGATCAGCCTGATCTCATCTCTTTTCCTCTCCTCCTCTCTCCTCCTCTCCTCCCCTGTCATCTCCTCTCCTCTCTCCTCTCTCCTCCTCTCCTCCCCTGTCATCTCCTCTCCTCTCTCTTCTCCTCTCTCTTCTCTTCTCCTCTCTTCTCTTCTCCTCTCCTCTCTTCTCTTCTCCTCTCCTCTCTCTTCTCCTCTCCTCTCTTCTCCTCTCCTCTCCTCTCTCTTCTCCTCTCAATTCAATTCAATTCAATTCAATTCAATTGAGCTTTATTGGCATGACTGTAAAATAGCACAATATTGCCAAAGCAATAGTAATATATAAACATATATGTAGATAAATAAAAGTGAAAAAAAATAAATAAACAACAACAATAAAAAAACATTTCGATGTTATGCATAAATATACCACAATAGATAAAAAAAAAGATATATACAATAAGTACCTCTCTCTTCTCCTCTCCTCTCTTCTCTTCTCCTCTCCTCTCTTTTCCTCTCCTCTCTTCTCCTCTCTTCTCCTCTCTCTTCTCATCTCTTCTCCTCTCTTCTCCTCTCCTCTCTTCTCTTCTCCTCTCCTCTCCTCTCCTCTCCTCTCCTCTCCTCTCCTCTCTTCTCTTCTCTTCTCCTCTCCTCTCTTCTCTTCTTCTCTCTTCTCCTCTCTTCTCTCCTCCTCTCCTCTCTTCTCCTCTCTTCTCCTCTCCTCTCTCCTCCTCTCCTCCCCTGTCATCTCCTCTCCTCTCCTCTCTTTTCCTCTCCTCTCTCTTCTCATCTCTTCTCCTCTCCTCTCTTCTCTTCTCCTCCCCTATCCTCTCCTCTCTTCTCTCCTCTCTCTTCTCCTCCCCTGTCATCTCTTCTCCCCTCTTCACTTCTCCTCTCCTCTCTTCTCTTCTCCTCGCCTCTTTTCTCCTCTCTTCTCTTCTCTTCTCCTCCCCTGTCATCTCCTCTCCTCTCTTTTCCTCTCCTCCTCTCTCCTCCTCTCCTCTCTTCTCTTCTCCTCCCCTGTCATCTCCTCTCCTCTCCTCTCTTCTCTTCTCCTCCCCTGTCATCTCCTCTCCTCTCCTCTCTTCTCCTCTCCTCTCCTCTCATGCCCTCTCCTCTCTTCTCCTCTCCTCTCTCCTCTCCTCTCCTCTTTTCTCCTCTCCTCTCCTCACCTCTCTTCTCCTCTCCTCTCTTCTCCTCTCCTCTCTTCTCCTCTCCTCTCTCATCTCCTCTCCTCTTTTCTCCTCTCCTCTCCTCTCTTCTCTTCTCCTCCCCTGTCATCTCCTCTCCTCTCCTCTCTTCTCCTCTCCTCTCTTCTCCTCTCCTCTTTTCTCCTCTCCTCTCCTCTCTTCTCCTCTCCTCTCCTCTCTTCTCTTCTCCTCCCCTGTCATCTCCTCTCCTCTCCTCACCTCTCTTCTCCTCTCCTCTCTTCTCCTCTCCTCTCTTCTCCTCTCCTCTCTCATCTCCTCTCCTCTTTTCTCCTCTCCTCTCCTCTCTTCTCTTCTCCTCCCCTGTCATCTCCTCTCCTCTCTTCTCCTCTCCTCTTTTCTCCTCTCCTCTCCTCTCTTCTCCTCTCCTCTCCTCTCTTCTCTTCTCCTCCCCTGTCATCTCCTCTCCTCTCCTCACCTCTCTTCTCCTCTCCTCTCTTCTCCTCTCCTCTCTTCTCCTCTCCTCTCTCTTCTCCTCTCCTCTCTTCTCCTCTCCTCTCTCTTCTCCTCTCCTCTCTTCTCCTCTCCTCTCTCATCTCCTCTCCTCTCTTCTCTTCTCCTCCCCTGTCATCTCCTCTCTTCTCCTCTCCTCTCTCATCTCCTCTCCTCTTTTCTCCTCTCCTCTCCTCTCTTCTCCTCTCTTCTCCTCTCCTCTCTCCCCTCTCCTCACCTCTCCTATCTTCTCCTCTCCTCTCTCCTCCTCTCCTCCCCTGTCATCTCCTCTCCTCTCTCCTCTCCTCTCTTCTCTTCTTCTCTACTCTTTTCTCTCTCCTCTCTTCTCCTCTCCTCACCTCTCCTTTCTCTTCTCCTCTCTTCTCCTCTCCTCTTTTCTCCTCTCCTCCCCTGTCATCTCCTCTCCTCTCTTCTCCTCTCCTCTCTCTTCTCATCTCTTCTCCTCTCCTTTCTCTTCTCCTCTCTTCTCCTCTCCTCTTTTCTCCTCTCCTCCCCTGTCATCTCCTCTCCTCTCTTCTCCTCTCCTCTCTCTTCTCATCTCTTCTCCTCTCCTTTCTCTTCTCCTCTCTTCTCCTCTCCTCTCTCTTCTCCTCTCCTCTCTTCTCTTCTCCTCCCCTGTCATCTCCTCTCTCCTCCTCTCTTCTCCTCTCTTCTCCTCTCTCCTCCTCTCTTCTCCTCTCCTCTCTCATCTCCTCTCCTCTTTTCTCCTCTCCTCTCCTCTCTTCTCCTCTCTTCTCCTCTCCTCTCTCCCCTCTCCTCACCTCTCCTATCTTCTCCTCTCCTCTCTCCTCCTCTCCTCCCCTGTCATCTCCTCTCCTCTCTCCTCTCCTCTCTTCTCTTCTTCTCTACTCTTTTCTCTCTCCTCTCTTCTCTTCTCCTCCCCTGTCATCTCCTCTCCTCTCTTCTTCTCTCCTCTTTTCTCTCTCCTCTCTTCTCCTCTCCTCTCCTCTCTTCTTCTCTCCTCTTTTCTTCTCTCCTCTCTTCTCCTCTTTTCACCTCTCCTCTCTCCTCTCTTTTCTTCTCCTCTTCTCTTTTCAAAAAAAGAAAAGTTTTTTTTCCTCTTTTCTTCTTCCTCTTTCTCTTCTCTTCTACTCTCCTCTCTTCTCCTGTCCTCTCCCCTCGGTGGGGTCATTTGGAAATAACATGTTGTTTGTGATGCATATGTAAGTGTTTCCGTGGCTCTGAGGTTATGTAAAGGGTTTGTTTGAACGCGATGGCTAGAGGCGCTGTCTTTGTCAATTCTGCATCGAGTGATGTCTCTGATTGCTGGAACACCCGGTGCCCTCCAGGCGTGTGGGATTGCATATTGATCAGCACATTGAGTTACACATTTTGGCGCTGTGCTACATGATATAAAGAGCAAATTGACTTGAGCTGTTTTATTGGACATTTCTGTCTGATGAGTTGCTCATGCGAAGTGCAAAGGTGATTAGGAAAGAAACGATAGTATAGAGTGCACTGACACATAGATTTCTTTTTTCCTTTTTTAAGTTGCAGAAAACACATAGGCATAGAGCGCTGGCTGCAGGGATGATTTATTTGTGTTGGTCATCTCGGAAGTTAGCATCACTTTGGTTCCCTCGACAAACTCATGATCATGATAAACTTTACAAATTAACACAACTTTTATGAATTTTGAAGGCTAAATACAATCTATAAACGAACTACACCACGTCCACATGACTTCAACATCACCAGCATTAAGCATCCGACAGCTCTTTCAGCACGTATTTAAAAGCATTTTCCCTGAAAGTTTGCGTTAGAATAGTTTGCAAGAGCATGATTATAAATACAACAAGGCTGTGAAAGCTAGTGAGTAGATGAGTTTCTGTTCGGCTGATGATGTTTAATGTCCCCGACAACCTCTATAGTCCCATTGAGGCAAGCAAACTTGACAGAGCAACCACCTTTTTCAAGACAAGTAAAACTAACAAATCACAAGTGGGGCATTACTGATATATTCTATGTCGTAGAATTAAACGTGAAAGATACCTTGAGCTTGTGTTCACCACAAACCGTATTTCAGACATTTAACAAAAATCCCATTGACACTGGGACGATGGAAGCAGAACCAAAATTATCCCCACTGCTAAAAAAAAAACAAGGATTTGTGCAACTAGACCTAGCCTTTATGACCACCTCATCAGATGATAATGAGCCCTTTATCCCATCTATAAAGCTGAAGCTGATGGGTTTTTTTCATGAAGCTTATGACTGAGCCTGTGCAGCACTGACGAGTCTTACAACACTAAAGCACAGAATGGACTTGTACCAAATCTATTTAACAGCCCATTGATTGTGTGTGACTGTGGGCTGGTAGGAAGTGTGTGCCAGCTGGGACCAGCCAGTCGGAGAGCGTGTGTGTCCCTGCGGGCTGAACAGTCTGGCCATCGAGTTTCACTCCCAGAGGCCATTTTGATCTCAGAGGACCGAGCACTTCATTACAGCTGTCTTTCTTAATATAAACAGAGAGCTTCTTATAATAGAAGTCACTTATGGAGAGAAAGGCCTTGTTAAATAGCCATAAATATGAACAATGGGTTTTTGCAATAGGGAATTACTTTGATTAATATCCTCTTAAGCTAATTCATGCCACATACGAAGAGGAGGAGAGCAGAGCTGAAAACATTAAAGACGCACTATGCAAGAATTATACCTTAATATAACAGCTTCAAAGTCATTTCAGTGGTAAACAATCTCATAGTTGGGCGAATCATCCTGGTAGTAAAGCTTGGGGGTAAAAAGCTGTCAACATTGTAAAAACCAGCAATGCAAGTTTGAGAGGAGCGCCCCGACAAATCTCGCGAGAATCAAGAAATGCTTAACGGCAACGACGTCACACACATCAACCACCACATGACGACACTTGCGCACATTTCAGACGTGATACTCGACGATGGAAAAAGCAAATGAAACGCGGTCGGAAGAGACTAGAAAAAGGAAAGATAATCTGACCGCGTGAGGAACCAGACAAGAGTCCCAGGCTTTTCACTCGTTGGCGCGAGCTAAAAAGCAGCACTGGATGCAACACTAGTCCAACTTGTTGATGGATTAGTAAGTAAATATGTCCAAGTTTGTGTGCATTTTATTTTGTGATTTCACCGAGTGCGCAACGGCGAAAGATTGAAGAGCGCGTCCGAGTGGTGGAGACCACATAGGGGGACCAGACGTCCCAAAATCCGGTCCTAATTGTCGCGAAAATTATACTAAAGCAAAATCTTGAGTAGTTATTGTCTGATAAAATATTAAAAAACTGTCCGTGGAGGATGAGTCAGCCCCCGCCGGCGGCTCATTGGCTGCAGCATCTTTTCTGTTTCTTTTTTTGAAGTTCTACAAAGATGGTGCGAATTTAGATTTTTTTTTAATTTTCATTCATTCGTTTCGTTGACATGGCTGGTAAACCACAACATGCCGTTTTTTAGTGTGAGACTAATGCTGGTTACATAAAGCCAGGTATTTAGCGAAACGAATATTTTCCCCCTCTCCGTTTTCAAAAATAACATCGTTCACACACCCACATAAATACGCCGTCGAGCGCCATCATAACTATGCCAAACCTATTGGCGGCAGTGTAGGGGTTAAGGATAACGCCATGCAAGCCAATCAGAATCCTCAGAATCGACAAGAGAGAACCTAAAACGCAGTTTCTCCCAGTTCACACGACAACACATAACCGGCGTTTTCAGAAATCTCCACTTTGGCCAGAATTTTTAGAAATAATCGTTTTCTGTGATAAAAACTGGGTTTTCGTGTAAACAAGAGGCCAATCCGCAGGGAAATATCTGCGTTTTCCCTTCGTGTAAACGGGGCCTAAAGACTAATGACAGACTGTTGGTCTTTGGAAAAAAAATATTTGGTTCAGGTTTGAAATTCATTAACTTTTATTATGTAGTCTAATATCATATATCTCATATCCTAGATCTCTTATTTAAAGGCACACCTTAATATATATGCCGCGAGTGCAGAGAGTGGAATTTACGACAGTAACGTTAAATACAAGTACTCCACAGCGACTCTAGGGGTCACTGTTTGACAAAAACGGAATTCTTGCATAGTGCGCCTTTATAATTATTTATAGGGTCTTTTTCAATAAAGTGAGCTTCAGAAGGGCATCATAGATGCATCATAGACATCATAGATGCTCTTCTGACATGAAATCTGTTTTATTTTGCCCTATATCCAATTTTGGACTAAATCTAAAGCAGTAGAACATGTAATGCTGCATTGTAAGAACCATAAGGATTATAAACAACTGTGAACAATTGACCCAAATAACTATCTGAAGCCAAAATGGTGAAGATTATTAATTTCTATGCGCTTGCATCGCATGTACATAAATGTTTTTACATTAAGCAAACTGATTAACTTTACATAATTCTTAACGGAAGAGCAGATTTGGCCATTTGTAACATAAATGTGCGATTCACTTCCAGCATCAACATAACAGAAACCATTTTATATACAACATAATAGAACATTTTCTCATCTTACTAAAAATCATAAAATCACATCTTTATTACTAGGCCTATATACTCTTCCTATCCCGCCACGTGCAATGGGAAATGAAAATGCTGTTTTTCATGTTTGATCGAGCTATTGTCCTTTCAACATGAAAACAGTTTAACATGATGCAATTGAATGAGAAACCTGATACAATAAGAGTTCAATAAGTGAACGGCATCAATAAATCATTTTTTTGAGTGTATTTTACCTGACCAAGTCCTATGCAATTGGCATTTGATATATCATAATATTACTTTCTTGTGACATTTGCTTTACAGTATAAATAAAAACATTCCCAAGTGCTGCTGACATTTGAGAAGTCAAGAGGTGATCGATGGTTTTGGCCGGTTCCCTGTATTAAACCTTGAATTTTGCCCTTTCTTCATATCTTATTCCTGTAAAGCACGGATATGATGTTAAAAAGCACTATATTTGTATTGAACGGGAGATGGAGTCTGGGGAGATGCTTTTTCGGGACGGGAGATGCTTTTTTGTCAAGTACGAATGGCTGAGGTGTGTTAGTTCACTAGATGAGTGTGTGGGAGTCTCTCTGCTGATTAGTTCTTCACTCTTACACTGAAGCTCAAAATCTCGGCATGAACATTTCTCCTTCTCTCCCACATTATGCCGTCCTGTGGCTCGAGGGATAAAGCTGTTGTGTTCGCCTCCCACTGCTCTCTGCCCCATTTTGAAGGATTTCACCTGCAATGTTTTAGAATGTTTCATTTCTGCACTGCTGAGATTGTCGCTTCAGCTGCTGCCACACACACACACACACACACACACACACACACACAAAGGGCTTTGTGAGAAGAAGAGAGTGGGGAGTGTCCTGTTCTGTGAATGGACAGGCTGCAAATGCTGCTTATTCTGTCATTATTCACCGTGACTAATTTAGACCCATTATTTCTCATCAGCGGTGACACACACTGACCGGCAGCTAATGGACTGACACACACACACACAAAGAATTATTCATACACCCTCAAAATAGCTTTACTTAAAAGAGAAATGTATGAAATGTAAGTGGTGTTTTGGCTGGTTTCTTAAGATTTTAACGAGCTTGTGTGGTTGCTAAAAGCTAAAAGATTTTCATGCCAATATTGATATCTAATATTGCCCAATATAATGCTGATAGATTCAGTGCATAATACAGCAAATTAGATGCTGTATTAAGATTTAAAACACTTTACACATTTTTTTACACACAGTAGCCTAATTCAAATCACTTTTCAATTAAATGTAGCTATTATCCATAATAAGACAATCACTGTCACAACAAAAATGATGGTTCATCTCTTGTTCTCTTGATTAGCATATTGTGCTAGCATGTTATGCTATATGACACAATTTCATAATAGTGCAATGGTAAGGTCCCGATATACATTGAGCCACCACAATATTCAGACAGGTATTAAATTTCCGGTTGGTTTCTCCTCCTTTGTACATGAAAATGCAATTTGTCAAATCCAACACGTGTAAGATCTGCGGGAGAATACATTGTTCTATTTATATGACATTATGACAGCCGGAATCATGTTTTAGCTGCATGTTATTGATGATTCTCGGTTATTTTTTACTGTCTTAAATCTTTGTTCCCTTTGTGGCGGAGCTGAACAATGAGTCTTCCCTCCTGTCCTACTTGTGTTCATCACACTTTCGTCCCTCTCTCGTCTGAATGAGACGGATGTGTGCGCGAGTGTGTTCTTATCAGGCGCGCGCAGCCGTCCGCTCATTTGTGCGCTGTCTGTCCCCCGTCAGACTGAAGTTACTCCTCCATTTAGACGGACAGATAGCCATCAGAATACTGTCTCCCTTCATTAAAACACCCTGAAATGAGCCCTTATCGAGTTTATCACAGCCGTCTTTTAATTAGCGATATGCAAAGCAGCCGAGAGGGACAGAATGTTCCTCTGTTGGAACAGTGTCTGCAGGGACTGTCAATCTCTGTTAGTTAGCTGTTGCCTGATTTTGAAGATTTGGAGAAGCATAACGTCTTAAATATGAATCTCAAACGAATCTCATAACCAAGTCAATTTTTTTTATTAAAAAAAAAAAAATCAAATTTTCAATTCCAATTCTGACTTTATAAATCGCATTTGTCAGTCAAATCATGCAATTTTGAGGAAAAAAGGTCAGAATTATCTGATAAAAATTCGCAATTTACCTTTTTTATTTTTTATTCTGTGGCGGAAACGCCATAGGCTATCTATCAATCAATGTTCTTGGAAAGCCAATCAGAATCGAGTTCCAAAACTAACTCACCAATCAAAAATCATTAATTATTTTGTTTTATTTTTGATAATTCCTTTACACTGTGATTTGTTAAACTAAACTATTTCTTGTAACTGAATATAAATCTCAAACGAAGCTCATATTGACCGAATTTGATTTGGTGTTTGTGTTCAGGTTCACATATGAGATCGCGCCCGTGTTTGTTCTGATGGAGCAGCTGACCCTGAAGAAGATGAGAGAGATGATTGGCTGGCCGAACGGGGATGGCGATGGACTCTTCTCACCAGGTAAACAATCAAAATGATTAAATATTACAATTACAAATGTTGTATACTCCCCCAAAACATATAATAAAACAATACGGTTATGCATAAAAATAGGTAGGCTGATGATGAAATTATGACGTATTTTCACGTTTACGCAAAGCTGTGAGTGGTGCTGAAATACACTGAATGCTCATCTGTTCACAGGTGGTGCCATATCAAACATGTACAGTGTGATGGTTGCACGGTATAAGTATTTCCCAGAAGTCAAAACCAAAGGCATGTCAGCAGCACCGCGACTCGTGCTCTTCACATCTGAACATGTAAGTAGCCTACACACACGGCAGTCAAACAGAGGAGATTTGTCTCCCTCTGGGGGTCATATTTTTATTTTTGATGTGTAAGTGTGATGATTACATTAACTATATTCTATCTGTAGTAGTTTGGCCACTTTGGTTGACTTGCTTATTTTTTTGCAGAGTCATTACTCAATCAAAAAGGCTGGAGCTGTCCTGGGATTTGGCAAAGAAAACGTCATTCTCCTGAAGACAGATGAGAGGTATCATGACAGTACTGTTCTGTGTCAGTTATATAAGAATAAAAAGCCCTCTATATATAAATATATAGCTACAAGCACTTGGAGCTTTCAAAGCTCATGTTTTATTTGCTTTTATTGTCCCTCCCACTTATACCTAATTGGCTGTCTTGTTTAGGGGGCGCGTCATACCTGCTGACTTAGAGGCCAAGATCATTGATGCTAAACAGAAGGTGTGTAACTGCTCTGTTCTGTGCTCTTGAGAGACAAGTGAGTGAGAGTATTTAACCTCTGTGCCTGAAGAGTTCAGTGGATCAATATCCTCAAGCCTGATGGATGATTTGACCTTTACGTGGCACTCTGCTGTTAGGGCATTATCTGTAGGCCATGCAACATCAACAGTGAATCATGTGATTTTAAATGTGTATTTTAGGGTTATGTGCCACTGTTTGTGAATGCGACGGCCGGCACCACAGTATATGGAGCATTCGATCCCATCAATGACATTGCCGACATCTGCGAGAAGTACGACCTGTGGTTGCACGTGGATGTAAGTGTGACTCAAATGCATGCATTTTCAATCAGTGCTGGTAACTTAATATATAGCCTAAATATAGTGTATGGATCACTGAGTAAATGAATGAGTGAATCTCCAGGGCGCATGGGGCGGAGGACTGTTGATGTCCAGGAAACACCGTCACAAGCTAAACGGCGTCGAGAGGTATGTAAAAACCATAGACGATGAGCTGCTGAAATGACTGTGTGTCTCAGGTAAGGTGCAGTGTGAGCTGAAACCCCACTCGTTTGTTTGTTTCAGGGCAAACTCTGTCACATGGAACCCTCATAAGATGATGGGTGTACCGTTGCAATGTTCAGCCATCCTGGTTAGAGACAAGGTGAGACTTGGACATAAACAGACACTATTGTTCAAATGGCTGGGCTGAGTTAAATTGATCAAAAGATTTCTATTTCAAATGCTTTCGTTTCATCAAAAAAATCCAGATTTTTTTTTTATATGAAGCAGCAGAGCTGTTTTCAACATAGATAATCATACATGTTTTATGTGCAGCAAATCATCATATTAGAGTGATTTATGAAGGATCATGTGACACTGAAGACTGGAGTAATGATGCTGGAAATTCAGCTTTGATCACAGGAATAAATTACAGTTACATGTATTCACATAGAAAACGACTGTTTTAAAGGGATTGTTCACTTTGAAATTAATTTTTGGTATGTTTTAGCTTACCTCAAGGGCATCCAAGATGTAGGTGTCTTTGTTTCCACAGTAGTTTCAATTTTGATATTTGTAGGTCAAACCGTTCTTGTCTGTCACTCATATAATGGAGGTCTATGGTCACCACCTCAAAGAGCATGCACAGAGAAGTCCAAATTAAACATGATTTAATGACTCGTAAATGTAAGTACACATTGATGGCCTAAGACACCAAACGAGCGGTTTGTGTGAGAAAACGAACAGTGTTTATATCGTTTTTACCTCTTGTAACCACAGTCACGTCCAAGTGATCTGAGGGCGCGGGCTTGTAATGTTTCATTCACTCATCGTCAACGCCGATTTTTACTTGGCGAGTGTTCATTTTAGGCTCTCTATACAAGTCTAAACAAAAATCTTGATGTGGATATATTCACCTGCTAATGTAGACCAGGTTTAGTTAATACAGCTGCTGATCACACTTCAAGAGAGGGACTTGAATACGCCGTGCTTCTGTTTCAGGGCATTCTGCAGGGCTGCAACTCCATGTGTGCCGGATATCTCTTCCAACCAGACAAACAGTACGACGTCAACTACGACACCGGAGACAAGGCCATCCAGTGTGGTAGACACGTAGACATCTTCAAATTCTGGCTCATGTGGAAGGCCAAGGTGCGTCCCAGCAGCCGCTATTATGTCAAATTTATTTGTATAGCGAAAAACTTTAAAGAAAATCATATTTCAGTGTTCATAATATCTTCATGTCACATTCAGCAGATCAGAGCTGATTATAGTTTACATTTCTCCAACCAATCAAGCAGTTGAGATTTCATAGTAGCACCGCATGCGGATGAAGTTGGACACTTATATATCCAGCTTTATATAAAGAGCTGGGCAATATAGTTGCATTTTGTGACTAAATAAAAAATCAGGAAGTTGATATATGCTGCTGTATGTGAATAAAGTTATAATTATATATATATATATATATATATATATATATTCTTAATCTTAATCTATTCTATTTATTTAAAAGGGACAATGGATATTAATGAACATCTTATCTTTTCAGCAATGTAAATATGCCAGAGTTAGCCCCAAGGCTATTTTTCATCTGCAGTACCCCATCAGGTCATCACAATATCACACTGTAAAAAAATATTGATGGTTTAATTTTAAAAAGTACTGTAAGTAACCTGGTTGCCTTAAAATTTTAAGTTCATTGAACTGGAAAAAGTGAGTTAATACAATGAAGGAGATTAATTTAACCATCAGAAACTCAAAATTATTTGTTATCTGAACTAAATAAATTATTTAAGTTGATTTGACAAAAAAAAAAGTTGTGATTACTACACTGTAAAAAAATATTGTTGGTTTAACTTAAAAAAGTAAGTAACCTGGGTTGACTTAAAATTTTAAGTTGATTAAACTGGAAAAAGTGAGTTAATACAATGAAGTAGATTAATTTAACCATCAGAAACTCAAAATAATAAGTTATCTCAAATAAGTTTATTTTATGTATATACTGTATATAGATTTATATAATTTATATTATAAATATTTTATATATAAATAATAAATATACATGCATGTGTGTGTATTTATATATATATATATATATATATATATATATATATATGAAGAGTTCAGATGCAAAAGCCTCTAAGTGCCATTTGAAATTTTCTTCTAAAATGATCTATGAAGATTAATGAAGATTACCTATTAATTGTCATTTAATTGCCATTTAAGTGAAATTACTGAACTTAAATATACAAGCTTGATAAAAACGATCATTCTAGAAGAAAATTTCAAATGGCATTTAGAGGCTTTTGCATCTGAACTCTTCATATATATATATATATAAACACCCACATATATTATGTAAACACAAACTTTTATTTTGGATGCGATTAATCGTTTGACAGCCCCAAAAGACACATAAATGATGTGGCTCTAGCATAAATTATTTTGTCGAGGAAAACATTTTTATTGTGCCTGGTGAATTGTATCCATGCAGGGCACAATTGGGTTTGAGCAGCACATCGACAGATGCCTGGAGATTTCTGAATATCTCTACAATAAAATCAAGAACCGTGAGGGATATGAAATGGTCTTTGAGGGCCAGGTTAGTATCTGGAACACACATATTTATAGATTGAAAGAACTGCTTACCCAACACTGGACGTAATTGCTTTTATTTTGCTCTCTACAGCCCCAGCACACAAATGTTTGCTTCTGGTATATTCCACCAAGCTTGCGTGGCATGCCACACGGAGACGAACGAAGGGAGAAGCTACACAGGGTACTTCATCATCTCATATAACTACCAAGTCAAGAGTCACTAGAGAAACTGGTGTCATAATGACTCTGCTTTCCCCTGCAGGTGGCGCCGAAGATCAAGGCATTGATGATGGAGTGCGGCACGACCATGGTAGGGTACCAACCACAGGGAGACAAAGTCAACTTCTTCCGAATGGTGGTCTCCAATCATGCCGCCACAATGTCAGACATCGATTTCCTGATCGACGAGATCGAGAGGCTGGGTCAGGACCTGTAAGAGTCTAAAGCATCCACTCGACGGGACAGTCGTGAGGTCTACGCATTTAATGGCTATGTTTCGACGTCGTGTTGTGGTCCGATATGTTCTGTCCTTCTTCTCAATGTCAGTAGATCTTTCACTTACAGATCACACAGCCGGTATAGTGCGGAGGCTTGTTTCCACCTCGGAATAAAAATCAAGTCTTTATCTCACAATTCAGATTTTTTTGGGGGGTTATTTTCTTAGTTTATATGTCAGAATCCGGACTTCATAACTCACAACAGTTATATTCTGAGAAAAAAAAGTCAGAATTAGACAGAGTTATTATAAAAATGTGGAATTGTGAGAAAAACAGCATAATTTTTTAATTAAAAAAGTTTTATAATTGTGAGTTTATATCACAATTCTGAATTTTTTTTCACTGAATTTTGATATATAAACTCAAATAAAGAAATCTGTTGAGAGTTTCTTGCAATTTTGAGTTTATATCTCAGACTTTGAGGGAAAAAGTCAGAATTGAGAGTTATAAAAATGTGGAATTGTGAGAAATACAGTTGGAATTGAGAGAAAAACATCATAAAAAAGTTTTATAATTGCGTGTTTATATCACAATTCTGTTTTTTTTTTCGCTGAATTTTGAGATATAAACTCAAATAAAGAAATCTGTTGAGAGTTTCTTGCAATTCTGAGTTTAAATCTCACACTTTAAGGAAAAAAATCAGAATTGAGAGTTATAAAAATGTGGAATTGTGAGGAATAAAGTTGGAATTGTGAGAAAAACATCATACTTTTTTAAATAAAAAAGTTTTATAATTGCGAGTTTATATCACAATTCTGATTTTTTTTCACTGAATTTTGATATATAAACTCAAATAAAGAAATCTGTTGAGAGTTTCTTGCAATTTTGAGTTTATATCTCAGACTTTGAGGAAAAAAGTCAGAATTGAGAGTTATAAAATGTGGAATCGCAAAAAAATAAATCATGAAGTCCGAATTGTGAGATATAAACTTACAATTACAAATAAAACAATTTTACCTGGCCAAAAAAAAATCTGAATTGTAAGATAAAGGTTGCTTTTATTGTTTTATTCGGTGGTGGGAGCAAGCTTTTCCCTAGCATAACTACACGGTCACCTTACAGCACAGTTTAAGTCCACTGGGATCGTGTGTAACACCGGTTTGTAAATACAAGATAAAGACGAGCAAAGGCGCACCACCCTTTTAATGAAGCTCGAAGCCCTTTCTGTGTAGTCGTGGGGTCTGTGTGTGAACCAGTGGTTGATCTGTATTTTAGTGTTGTGTTTCTAGAACTTGTAAAGTGGTTAATCAACACCTTTGTGAGGTGAAACATGAGTATTCAAGAATTTTCCGTTTGAAACGATATAAAAATAGATTTAATTTATTTATATTGTGGGCCGAGCAGTGTTTAAAGGTTCAGTATTTCTCCCATTTGTAATGGTTCTTCATTTGAACTTTAAAACAAGATATATATATATATATATATATATATATATATATATATATATATATATATATATATATATATATATAATCAAGTTTAGGCAAATGTTTAAAAGTCCTGTAATGTACTTGTGAGCCAAAGACAGAACTAGTGCCATACATTTTACAATATACTCGATATTCTTTGAAATAAGCAAGCATATAAATTATAGTATGACATTTATATACAGTAAAAATTAATATATTGTATATGTTTATTGTTGTTCAGGCCCTTAACTCTGTGCAATCAGTGTGTTAGTGTTATAATGTTATTGTGTGTATCTTTGACTGAATGTTACAAGCAATCCTATCAATTATCTGAAGGTTAGTAACCAGATGTTTAATGCTGATTATTGATATTCAACTCAGGCGATTATAGCATCATATAAATATATATATATATAAAGAGAAGAAACCACAAAAGAAAACAATAAAGCAAAAAGCACAAACTTAGAGGGAAGGATGGAAATGATGTCCTCAGGATGCTGGAAGATTGTGTTAATAATATAAATATTTATCAAAGGTTTATTATTAAGATTCAGCTGTTGTCTTTGGACCATGCTGACTTTATTTAATGTTCAATGTTTTTGACAAATGCACAATAATCTTTTTCCTTGTTGAATGTGAGGAGGGCGATCTGGTCTCCTCAGTAAGGCTGGCACTTTAAAATGCAATCACTATATGTAAACTGTTATTAACACAATAAAAGCTACTAAACTATACGAATGTTCTTTTAGTCGTCTTTTTGAAATGTAAAATCTGACCCTTTTATTTTAAAGCTGACTTCACACTTGAGATTGTTTGTGTTTCCTTTTATTTCATTCTTATTTTAACGACCTACTCACAGGCACTGAGGTGTGATATATATAATCTTTCAACAATAGACACTTTAAAATTACTCAAAAGTAATCAAAAATCAAAACGTAGTCTGACTATATCACCTTAAACGTGTAATGTACCTAATGAATAATCCGAGTATCCGATCACAGAGCCGAAGAGCCAAATTAAGTGATGCAAAGATTAGAGATAAAGATTCACTTGTAAAACATTTGCAAAAGCATGACTCTATAAAAGATCGCTTATGTTTTCCATTTTTTAGCCTAAATGTGTTCTTCTAATCTACTTTAATGTCTCAGCCACAGGGAGGCAGTGTCACAAAGAAATGAAGAAACTGGAAACATGTTGCACACTTTCGACATCCTCCAGAGGGCGCTGAAACCCACACTAACATTAAAGGGATAGTTCACCCAAAAATGACAACACTCAAATTGTTTCAAACCTATATGAATTTCTATCTTCTGCTAAGCACAAAAAAAATATTTTGAAGAATTTCGTTAACCAAACAGTTAATGGGACTCATAGTATTTTTTGGAAGTCGATGTTTACCGATTTTCTTCAAAATATCTTCTTCTTCTTCATAGGCTACAGGTTTGGAACTTGACGGTGAGTAACTTAATAACAGAATTTTCATTTTTGGGTGAACTAAAAAAAGACTAAAAAAGACAACAAGATTTGTGGTAAAATGTGCGAACGTCTGTGTTCTACTGGATAATCATTGACGCACTAAAACTTTATTGTACAAGTATTTAATTTAATGTAAGAGATAAGTTACAAAAAGCACATTGTTATTGATGTCTATTGCTGAGATCCCATCTGAGTGACAGGTTGCCCCGCCCTCACACCGGTGAACACATCATCAGAGAAAAGATGTAGTTACAAGAGGAAGGGGAAGTTATTTGATTATAGAGGGCACATAAAAAAGTAATGATGTGCACTGATAAATCATTTATAACAAACACTGGTATATTTCATTAAAAAAAATAGAAAGTGTTCAATTGATTTCATATGGTGCCTTTAATGCTATTCAGCAAATACGCCCACCCCTTATCGTCTTAATCTAATCTTTGGAGAGGCGGAGCCACAAAAATAATTCTATATTATTTTAATTAGCAAAGATAACAGATTTTTTTTACGACTTGCCGACTAGAGAACTCTAGAACCACTCGTGAACTAATTTCTCAAACCGGTCAACCGATTCATCAAAAAGATTCGATTCAAACGAACGATTCGTTCAGTCCGACGTCGCACCTTCATGCGTATCCCATCGTTTACCTGCCTTACGCTTACAAATGAAAAATAAATCATGCTTCACTGATTCATAATGTGAAGAATGCCTCCTTGACCGTGTGTGTGTACCGCTGCAGTCTCACCTGTGCGCCACATAAGCACGAGCCCTCCTTTTTGCGCTGCCACGTCATTCACCACTGTCGTGCGCATCCCTTGGAGACTCTGACGTGTCTGTCCACATAACCGGCAGCTGGGAGAAAAATATTAAAACTCACTATAATCTCACAGGCGACATTCAGCGGGGATCATGGGGGGATCGCAGAGTTTGGAAATTCCAGGAGGTGGTTCGGAGGGCTATCACGTTCTCAGAGTGAGTGTGTTTTACAGACCCGTCCGCTCTATCGGTGTCTTTCTTTCACCCATACGGAAGATCGCGACTCTCAGGCAGCGGAAAGTTCAAATCGAGGGCGGGGACGCCAGTGCGGCCTGCTCACATCGGCTAAATGCTAACGTGGCTAAATGAAAATCTCTGCTGTTAAATGTCAAGAGATTTCTTTTCAGCTTTTGACATACAAAGACTGATAGCCTTTAAAATGCACGTCTTTATTTATCCCACTGTGACAAGCAATTTTGTTTGTGTGGATGGGCTCTGTTGAAGAAGCTTACTACATGTCATTATGCATAGCTGTAAAATGTTCAGTTTTCATCTTCCACAACTTGAAATGACCTAATTTACTCAAGAAATAGCATAACGTGTGTAAGAGCAGTATGTCATTTTGATATTTGGGTGCATGCATAACTTGCATGACTGCATATTTTGTAGATTGCCATCTCAGTCAAGATTGAAGTGTTAACTTAGACATTTTCATGATGCAAAGAGCATTATTTCATGATATGTATCAGTTTAGAGTTTTGCCAGAAGATATGGATGTTGTTATTTTTATTTGATGGTTATCCTTGAATGTGATTGTATAAGCAGTCTGCTTTCTCTGTTATGCAGGTGCAGGAGAATTCTCCCGGGCACAGAGCAGGACTCGAACCCTTCTTTGACTTCATTGTGTCCATCAACAACACGAGACTGGTAGGTTTGTTGCACATGGTGCATGGTCATCCATCATCTCTTCAATGTATGAACTGACTATTCATTGAACCTCATCCAGTGTTTTTAAAGTTATAAACATGTGAGAAACCAATAAAGAAACAAGCTTTAAATGGAAAATTGGTTTATATATTGAATAGCCATGTAATGATTATACCAATTTTGGGACTATCCAGTGAATTAGATACTTTAAAAAAATGAAGCCTAGTATTATGTAATGCTTATAAGACTCTAAACAGTAAAACTGACAGTTCTGACTTTAAAATCTGATTGGACGAACCACATTTGAAGCCATTGTAAAACATCTGATATATGCACACCTGGACTGTACATTATTTAAAGTTTATGGTTGAAACATTCATGTTGTATGGTGTTAAATAGCATCATTTTACACAATCCTGCCTAGTATGTTTGTTGCTGTTTAATGGTGTTTTTGCTTTGCTTTATACAGAACAAGGATAATGACACGCTGAAAGACATATTGAAGGCTAGCGTTGAGAAACCTGTGAAGATGCTAGTGTACAGCAGCAAAACCCTGGAGCTGCGGGAAGCCACTGTTACTCCCAGCAACATGTGGGGCGGCCAGGGTCTTCTGGGGGTCAGCATCCGCTTTTGCAGCTTTGAAGGAGCCAATGAGAACGTCTGGCATGTTTTGGTGAGTAAATGAAAGTGGAGAAATGTAATCGGAGAAAGCTGCTGGAATGAGTTATTTATTTACACTGCATATTTTGTAAGGGCGGGGTTGCATTGAACTCTTTTTTGATTAACAACTTTTGGTCAATCAGTCGTAATTCAGCATGGGTGTGTCCTTGTAAAACAGTCCGGTCAGTCGAGTTGTAAAATGAAATATGCGCCTTGACTCGTTTTTCACTTGTTTTGTAGGAAGTGGAGCCAAACTCTCCTGCAGCATTAGCAGGATTAAGACCACACACCGACTACATCATCGGAGCAGACACAGTCATGAACGAGGTACGTTTCTCTCATACACATCACAAACTCTTTTCAGACGTCATGATAATTGTGCATAAACATCTGTATTTTGGATAAATTGTCGATTGATATCACGCTCTGCTGCTCAAATATAGATTAAAACACTTGCAGATTCTTCAGCCATCCTAGAAAGAGCTGAAATGACCCATATGTGCTGTGCTCATTATCTGTTAATAAAATATATATTTATCACTTTGCATTTTTTATATTTGCAAGAAATATTTAGTTTTTTTCAGTAAATGTTTTTGTTCAATACAAATTCCACCTTTTTTTATGAAAAATAAGCTGTGAATTAATTCGCTTTAAGAAACTCCATAAATTCATGAGCACACATTTTTTAAACAAACATGTTTTTTCACATATACAACAACGACATGCAGTGAAAAACTGATTGGTTTTATAGTTTTTAACAAATTCTTATGTTGTTATTGTTAAATAAAACTAACAAAAATGATAAACGCATCACAAAATGACTAAAACTGAAATCATATATTGATCGGCCTGCATTGACACTAGGGACGGGCAACGATTAATCGCATCCAAAATAAAAGTTTGTGTTTACGTAATATATGTGTGTGTAGTGTGTATAATTATTTTGTATATATAAATACACACACATGCATGCATATATTTAAGAAATATTTGCATGTATATACTTTATATATATTTATACATAATTAATATTATTTATAAATATAAATATTTGATATATTAAGAACACATTTTTCTTAAATATATACTAGCATGTGTTAGTATTGATATATACAAAATAATTATACAGACCACACACACATATATCATGTAAACACAAACTTTTATTTTGGATGTGATTAATCGTTGCCCATCCCTAATTGACACCATTATATATGAGAACTGAACTGAACTGGATGATGACATCACTGTTTTTTTCCAGAGCGGATATATATATATATATATATATATATATATATATATGTGAACTAAATTAATAACTTTATTACAATGAAAATGAACCATCACTGAACTTACTTAAGTTGGACTATGATGTTATAACTCTGTTGCATGATTTTCAATTTATCACTGTAAAGCTGCTTTGAAACAAAATGTATTGTGTAAAGTGCTATATGAATAAAGGTGACTTGAAATCTGAAAATATTTAAAAAAGAATCCAATTTAGAATGAATAGTTAAATGTAAATAATACTAAAATGACAGTTCAAGACTGTCACAGGGCCTTTTATGCAAAATGACCAACTCCTCCTTTGTTTTAGCCAGTTAGATCAAATCAGCATAATTTGCAATATTGTAGAATACATCACAAAAAAAATCAAGATGCATTTCAGTGTTTTATTATTGGTTTTCTTCATTGTGTGTGTGCTGTGCTCTTTCTCCAGTCAGAGGACTTATTCTCATTGATAGAAACCCATGAGGGCAAAGGCCTGAAACTCTACGTCTACAACACCGACACGGACAACTGCAGAGAAGTGGTCATTACGCCCAACGGTGCCTGGGGTGGAGAGGGCAGGTGTGTAAAACTCTCTTGCTCCTCTGGTTCCTGCCCCTGTATGTGTGTGTCTGACGTGATTATTTTTCTCCGTTCAGTCTCGGCTGCGGCATCGGCTATGGTTACCTGCACAGAATCCCAACTCGGCCGTTCGAGGAGGGCAAGAAAATAAGCTTCCCCGGACACACCCCGAGTGAACCCGCCAGCCCGTTGAAAGACGGCTTCACAGAGGTAAGTGTGTGTGTGTATTTCACATGGTGTATTTGGATATATTTGTCAGCCGTTTGATTACAATGACGTTTTGTGTAGGTTCAGCTGTCTGCAGTGACTCCGCCCCCTGTGTCACAGCCTGTTCCCACAGGACTCGAGGACAGTCTATCCGGCCTGTCACTCAGCTCTGCCCAGCCCTCGATGCCCAGCGAGCTCCACACAGGTGAAATGTCAACATTTATGCTGTGCATCATATTTTTTCCATATCACTCATAATATATAATATTAACATAATACAAATACTGTCATTTTCTGCAGGTGTTCCTACAGTCCCCCTGCTGCCCACTCAGGTGACCCCAGGGCTGGGTACCCTTCCCATTGTCACCCCCTCCACCACTGTACCAGGTAGAGAACATAATAATAATTACATTTATATAGTGCTTTTCTGGGTACTCGAAGCGCTTTACATGGAAGGGGGAATCTCCTCAACCACCACCAACATGCACTTGTCAAAGTAATTTTTGTCAAAGTAATATAAGCTGGAAGAAAAGTTTCTTTTCACATTCTCTGTTATGTGAATAAATGATCTTTATTTTGTGCTTGTAGGTTTGATATCCTTACCGTCTGGTCTCCCTCCCCTGCCAAACCTGCCTAACCTCCCGAACCTTAATCTACCGTTACCGAACCTTAGCGCTGTATCTTTAGCTGGAATCAGTGGGTTACCTCATAATACAGCAGGTACACTTCATTATACCATATTACAGCTTTTTCTGACTAAGAACGGCCACTTAGACAGGAAGGACCTGACTTGTGTGTGACTGACAAGGTCCTTAAAGGGATACTCCACAGTTTTTTCATATAAACTATGTTATTTCCTTGACTAAGACGAGTTGATGCACACCTCTCTCGTCTCAGTGCGTTTGCTTAATCGCTCTGGCGCGCGAGACACTTTGATAGCACTTAACTAGCCCAGTTCATTCAATATGGGCCACGCAGAGAAGCGACTAAACACCTCCAAGGTTTTCCCTATTTAAATACATTTACTCGAGTAGTGTAACTCGACCTAGTACGGTGACACAAAATAAAACGTGCTTTTCTAAGCGTGTACAGTGGATAACTATAATGTATGGTGAAATACCATAGCTTCTCTGTCGTTTCTTTGCGTGGCCCATATTGAATGAACTGGGCTAGTTAAGAGCCATCAAAGTGTCTCGCGTGCCAGAGCGATTGAGCGCACACACTGAGATGAGAGAGGTGTGTATCAACTCGTCTTAGTTAAGGGAATAACATAGTTTAATATGAAAAAACTGGAGTATCCCTTTAAAAAGTCTTAAATTTGATCAAATTTCAAGTGTTTGATTTGATCTTAAATTTGATCAAATCAAACACTTTAAATGTCTTAAAGGGAACCTACTAGTATTATGCCTTTTGCAAAGCCTTGATTTTGTTTTTGGAGTCTACTAGAATAGATTTTCATGCCTGAAAGACTGACCATAAACGTGAGTTTCAACACACTTCTAACTTCTTTGGGCGGGAATTATTTAAATGAGGAATATTGTGACGTGAAAGATAACTCAAGACCACAATGGAGAGACACTGATATAAAGACAAACAGCAACAAAAACGAAAGAACATGTAAAAAAGCATTTTAAAGGAGTAGTTCACTTTTAAAAAAACTTTTGCTGATAATTTACTCACCCCCATGTCATCCAAGATGTCCACGTCTTTCTTTCTTCAGTCGAAAAGAAATTAAGGTTTTTGATGAAAACATTCCAGGATTTTTCTCCATATAATGGACTTCAATGGGAACCAAACAGTTCAAGGTCCAAATGACACTTTCAGTGCAAACTTCAAACTGTTCAAAGGGCTTTAAACGATTCCAGACGATGAATAAGGGTCTTATCGAGCGAAACGATCGCTCATTTTAAAAAAAAAAAATAACAAAGTTTATGTTTTATAAGCACAAATGCTCGCCTTGCTCTGTTCTGTGATGAGCGTTCGTGACTCTCCTGTTCGAACTCGTTCATCAAAATGAGCGAATAATTTTCCGAGTCAATTTGTTCGTTTCGTTTGTTGAATGAATAAAAAACGAATCAGAAAAAGATTTGTTCAGTTTGATGAACGAGTTCAAACAGGAGAGTCACAAACGTGTGTCACCGAACAGAGCAAGGCGAGCTTATAAAACTTCAACTTATTAATTAAATGAGCGATCGTTTCACTTGATAAGACCCTTATTCGTCGTCTGGAATCGTTTAAAGCCCTTTGAACAGTTTGCACTGAAACTGTCTTTTGGACCTTGAACCGTTTGGTTCCCATTGAAGTCCATTATATGGAGAAAAATCCTGGAATGTTTTCATCAAAAATCTGATGAATCTTAATTTCTTTTCGACTGAAGAGAGAAAGACATGGGCATCTTGGATGACATGGGGGTGAGAAAATTATCAGCAAAAGTTTTTTCAAAAGTGAACTACTCATTTAAATAGTAATGCAAAAGTCTTAATTATCAATTTGGGGGCAGAAAAGCAGTCATCGTGATACAAATGAATGTGATTTTTATGAATTGTCAAGGCGCTGTTTTAATCACACTAATGCAAACGCTCTTGTCTCTTTAGGTTTGCCCCCTCTTCCTCCTCTGAACCTGCCTGGCATCTCTCCTCTGCCCATGCACCCCGTTCTCTCTTCCACACTTCCCAGCATGCCAGGCGTCACGCTGCCATCTTCCCTGGCACCATCTGACTTCGCACCGCCCGTCTCCTTAGCGAACGTGCAAACTCCAGCGCTCATACTGGATGCCACGCCTAACCCTGCGGTCAAAGACATGCCTGTTGCCCCCGAGACCCTGTTACCGCAGACGACCCCGGAGTCCTCGTAACGACCTCGTAACGTATTGTATTTATTCAGTACAAAAAGATTCCAGTGTGCAAACACACACCGAGATAAAACGCGGTTCTGTCGAGAGATGCCAGTGTCTGAGGTCCGAGGGAGGACAGATCTCTAATATTAAAACGTTCAGTGAGATGAAAAGCGGCTGTTGTACGTCTCTCTCCTCAGAATCTGTGGCGTCTCGTGCTTTTTCTTTCTGTATATCATGTAATCAAACGTTAGTTAGCATTCCCTGTAATTACCAATTGCTATGTGATTTTACAATGTAACGTCTGGCCTTCTTTTCTTTCTTTGCACCATATTTCGAATGCTTTGATTTTTCTTTATACGTGGTCAGACCGGGCTCTGGGCCTCTGTTTCTCTCGCTCACACACTCTCTGTAAGATAGATCTGCCGTCGAGATGAGTGGAAAACACGATTCAGATGAATGTGCGCTTGTGCAGTTTGAAGATTGTGAAGGAATCTCTCATTCAAACACACACAAGCAATAAACTACCCAGTTTTACACTATCACCGTCTCTGTCTGTTGAATCTAAATGAGTGATTTATCAATTGATAGATATAGCTTGTATTGGGTGCAGTGATATATATGTAAGTGTGTGAGTGAGTGTGTCAAATTGAAATTCTTTATTTTAACAGGGTCATGTGATGAGGTTTTCAGTTGTTTATGCTGATATTTAGAGAGCATGGTGTATGTGATAATGTAGGGTCAGATTAAAATGTATACATGGGGCCTAAAAGTAACTTTATACCACACCGGCAGTTTTTTTGCAATAACAGACAATTATGACACCTATATTTTAGACACCAGTGAAAAATATTTTAGACACCGCACTCAGGTCTAAGTCCCAAGGCCCTCTATCAGAATCCAGAGTTTCAAGAAGATCAGAACAACTCAAAATTTCGGCCCTCCAAAAAAACGACAGTGTTACCCCTGTCGTTTTTTTTTTTTTTTTTTGATGCGAAAAAATTAGTTTCTCCAATCTTCTTGAAACTCTGGATTCTGATAGAGGGCCATGGGACTTAGACCAGAGCTGAGATATGGACATCCCACGTAGCATTTATGCCATTATAAAAATAGTGGGTTTGTGGATGGTGGAATTATGGGATGGCGCTTGGGGCTAAGGACTCAGGGGAGCCTCCTGAGTGCAGTAAAATAGTTTTTATCTTGAAAGAAACTTTAATTAAAATGTCCAAAAAATACACTACCCAAATTCCACCGTCCACGAACCCACTATTTTTATAATAGCATAAATGCTATGTGGGATATCCATATCTCAGCTCTGGAAGGGTGTAGAGACTCAATTTTTGCACATTTAGGTCTTAGTCTCATGACCATCTATCAGAATCCAGAGTTTCAAGAAGATCAGAACAACTCAAAATTTCGGACCCAAAAAAAAAAAAAAAACGACAGTGTTACCCCTGTCGTTTTTTTTTTTTTTTGTGTGAAAAAAAATAATTTTCTCCAATCTTCTTGAAACTCTGGATTCTGATAGAGGGCCATGGGACTTAGACCTGCGTGCAAAAATGGAGGATCTAGACCCTTCCAGAGCTGAGAAATCGAAATTCAAAATTTCGACCCGAAAAAAAAACGACAGTGTTACCCCTTTTGTTTTTTTTTCATTTTTGGGGCGAAAAATTAAGTTTCTTCAATCTTCTCAAAACTCTGGATTATGATAGAGGGCCACGAGACTTTGACCTGAGTGCAAAAATGGAGGCTCTAGACCCTCCCAGAGCTGAGATATCGAAATTCAAAATTTCGAACCGAAAAAAAAACGACAGTGTTACCCCTTTCGTTTTTTTTCCTTTTTGGGCGAAAAATGAAGTTTCTCCAATCTTCTCTAAACTCTAGATTCTGATAGAGGGGCGTGAGATTTTGACCTGAGTGCAAAAATGGAGGCTCTAGACCCTTCCAGAGCTGAGATATCGAAATTCAAAATTTTGACCCGAAAAAAAACGACAGTGTTACCCCTTTCGTTTTTTTTCATTTTTGGGCGAAAAATTAAGTTTCTCCAATCTTCTCAAAACTCTGGATTATGATAGAGGGCTGTGAGACTTTGACCTGAGTGCAAAAATGGAGGCTCTAGACCCTTCCAGAGCTGAGATATCGAAATTCAAAATTTCGACCCGAAAAAAAAACGACAGTGTTACCCCTTTCGTTTTTTTTCATTTTTGGGCGAAAAATTAAGTTTCTCCAATCTTCTCAAAACTCTGGATTATGATAGAGGGCCACGAGACTTTGACCTGAGTGCAAAAATGGAGGCTCTAGACCCTTCCAGAGCTGAGATATCGAAATTCAAAATTTCGACCCGAAAAAAAAAACGACAGTGTTACCCCTTTCGTTTTTTTTCATTTTTGGGCGAAAAATTAAGTTTCTCCAATCTTCTCAAAACTCTGGATTATGATAGAGGGCTGTGAGACTTTGACCTGAGTGCAAAAATGGAGGCTCTAGACCCTTCCAGAGCTGAGATATCGAAATTCAAAATTTCGACCCGAAAAAAAAAACGACAGTGTTACCCCTTTCGTTTTTTTTCATTTTTGGGCGAAAAATTAAGTTTCTCCAATCTTCTCAAAACTCTGGATTATGATAGAGGGCTGTGAGACTTTGACCTGAGTGCAAAAATGGAGGCTCTAGACCCTTCCAGAGCTGAGATATCGAAATTCAAAATTTCGACCCGAAAAAAAAACGACAGTGTTACCCCTTTCGTTTTTTTTCATTTTTGGGCGAAAAATTAAGTTTCTCCAATCTTCTCAAAACTCTGGATTATGATAGAGGGCTGTGAGACTTTGACCTGAGTGCAAAAATGGAGGCTCTAGACCCTTCCAGAGCTGAGATATCGAAATTCAAAATTTCGACCCGAAAAAAAAACGACAGTGTTACCCCTTTCGTTTTTTTTCATTTTTGGGCGAAAAATTAAGTTTCTCCAATCTTCTCAAAACTCTGGATTATGATAGAGGGCTGTGAGACTTTGACCTGAGTGCAAAAATGGAGGCTCTAGACCCTTCCAGAGCTGAGATATCGAAATTCAAAATTTCGACCCGAAAAAAAAACGACAGTGTTACCCCTTTCGTTTTTTTTCATTTTTGGGCGAAAAATTAAGTTTCTCCAATCTTCTCAAAACTCTGGATTATGATAGAGGGCTGTGAGACTTTGACCTGAGTGCAAAAATGGAGGCTCTAGACCCTTCCAGAGCTGAGATATCGAAATTCAAAATTTCGACCCGAAAAAAAAAACGACAGTGTTACCCCTTTCGTTTTTTTTCATTTTTGGGCGAAAAATTAAGTTTCTCCAATCTTCTCAAAACTCTGGATTATGATAGAGGGCTGTGAGACTTTGACCTGAGTGCAAAAATGGAGGCTCTAGACCCTTCCAGAGCTGAGATATCGAAATTCAAAATTTCGACCCGAAAAAAAAACGACAGTGTTACCCCTTTCGTTTTTTTTCATTTTTGGGCGAAAAATTAAGTTTCTCCAATCTTCTCAAAACTCTGGATTATGATAGAGGGCTGTGAGACTTTGACCTGAGTGCAAAAATGGAGGCTCTAGACCCTTCCAGAGCTGAGATATCGAAATTCAAAATTTCGACCCGAAAAAAAAAACGACAGTGTTACCCCTTTCGTTTTTTTTCATTTTTGGGCGAAAAATTAAGTTTCTCCAATCTTCTCAAAACTCTGGATTATGATAGAGGGCTGTGAGACTTTGACCTGAGTGCAAAAATGGAGGCTCTAGACCCTTCCAGAGCTGAGATATCGAAATTCAAAATTTCGACCCGAAAAAAAAACGACAGTGTTACCCCTTTCGTTTTTTTTTTCATTTTTGGGCGAAAAATTAAGTTTCTCCAATCTTCTCAAAACTCTGGATTATGATAGAGGGCTGTGAGACTTTGACCTGAGTGCAAAAATGGAGGCTCTAGACCCTTCCAGAGCTGAGATATCGAAATTCAAAATTTCGACCCGAAAAAAAAACGACAGTGTTACCCCTTTCGTTTTTTTTCATTTTTGGGCGAAAAATTAAGTTTCTCCAATCTTCTCAAAACTCTGGATTATGATAGAGGGCTGTGAGACTTTGACCTGAGTGCAAAAATGGAGGCTCTAGACCCTTCCAGAGCTGAGATATCGAAATTCAAAATTTCGACCCGAAAAAAAAACGACAGTGTTACCCCTTTCGTTTTTTTTCATTTTTGGGCGAAAAATTAAGTTTCTCCAATCTTCTCAAAACTCTGGATTATGATAGAGGGCTGTGAGACTTTGACCTGAGTGCAAAAATGGAGGCTCTAGACCCTTCCAGAGCTGAGATATCGAAATTCAAAATTTCGACCCGAAAAAAAAAACGACAGTGTTACCCCTTTCGTTTTTTTTCATTTTTGGGCGAAAAATTAAGTTTCTCCAATCTTCTCAAAACTCTGGATTATGATAGAGGGCTGTGAGACTTTGACCTGAGTGCAAAAATGGAGGCTCTAGACCCTTCCAGAGCTGAGATATCGAAATTCAAAATTTCGACCCGAAAAAAAAACGACAGTGTTACCCCTTTCGTTTTTTTTCATTTTTGGGCGAAAAATTAAGTTTCTCCAATCTTCTCAAAACTCTGGATTATGATAGAGGGCTGTGAGACTTTGACCTGAGTGCAAAAATGGAGGCTCTAGACCCTTCCAGAGCTGAGATATCGAAATTCAAAATTTCGACCCGAAAAAAAAACGACAGTGTTACCCCTTTCGTTTTTTTTCATTTTTGGGCGAAAAATTAAGTTTCTCCAATCTTCTCAAAACTCTGGATTATGATAGAGGGCTGTGAGACTTTGACCTGAGTGCAAAAATGGAGGCTCTAGACCCTTCCAGAGCTGAGATATCGAAATTCAAAATTTCGACCCGAAAAAAAAACGACAGTGTTACCCCTTTCGTTTTTTTTCATTTTTGGGCGAAAAATTAAGTTTCTCCAATCTTCTCAAAACTCTGGATTATGATAGAGGGCTGTGAGACTTTGACCTGAGTGCAAAAATGGAGGCTCTAGACCCTTCCAGAGCTGAGATATCGAAATTCAAAATTTCGACCCGAAAAAAAAACGACAGTGTTACCCCTTTCGTTTTTTTTCATTTTTGGGCGAAAAATTAAGTTTCTCCAATCTTCTCAAAACTCTGGATTATGATAGAGGGCTGTGAGACTTTGACCTGAGTGCAAAAATGGAGGCTCTAGACCCTTCCAGAGCTGAGATATCGAAATTCAAAATTTCGACCCGAAAAAAAAACGACAGTGTTACCCCTTTCGTTTTTTTTTTCATTTTGGGCGAAAAATTAAGTTTCTCCAATCTTCTCAAAACTCTGGATTATGATAGAGGGCTGTGAGACTTTGACCTGAGTGCAAAAATGGAGGCTCTAGACCCTTCCAGAGCTGAGATATCGAAATTCAAAATTTCGACCCGAAAAAAAAACGACAGTGTTACCCCTTTCGTTTTTTTTCATTTTTGGGCGAAAAATTAAGTTTCTCCAATCTTCTCAAAACTCTGGATTATGATAGAGGGCTGTGAGACTTTGACCTGAGTGCAAAAATGGAGGCTCTAGACCCTTCCAGAGCTGAGATATCGAAATTCAAAATTTCGACCCGAAAAAAAAACGACAGTGTTACCCCTTTCGTTTTTTTTTCATTTTGGGCGAAAAATTAAGTTTCTCCAATCTTCTCAAAACTCTGGATTATGATAGAGGGCTGTGAGACTTTGACCTGAGTGCAAAAATGGAGGCTCTAGACCCTTCCAGAGCTGAGATATCGAAATTCAAAATTTCGACCCGAAAAAAAAACGACAGTGTTACCCCTTTCGTTTTTTTTCATTTTTGGGCGAAAAATTAAGTTTCTCCAATCTTCTCAAAACTCTGGATTATGATAGAGGGCTGTGAGACTTTGACCTGAGTGCAAAAATGGAGGCTCTAGACCCTTCCAGAGCTGAGATATCGAAATTCAAAATTTCGACCCGAAAAAAAAACGACAGTGTTACCCCTTTCGTTTTTTTTTCATTTTTGGGCGAAAAATTAAGTTTCTCCAATCTTCTCAAAACTCTGGATTATGATAGAGGGCTGTGAGACTTTGACCTGAGTGCAAAAATGGAGGCTCTAGACCCTTCCAGAGCTGAGATATCGAAATTCAAAATTTCGACCCGAAAAAAAAACGACAGTGTTACCCCTTTCGTTTTTTTTTCATTTTTGGGCGAAAAATTAAGTTTCTCCAATCTTCTCAAAACTCTGGATTATGATAGAGGGCTGTGAGACTTTGACCTGAGTGCAAAAATGGAGGCTCTAGACCCTTCCAGAGCTGAGATATCGAAATTCAAAATTTCGACCCGAAAAAAAAAACGACAGTGTTACCCCTTTCATTTTTTTTCATTTTGGGCGAAAAATTAAGTTTCTCCAATCTTCTCAAAACTCTGGATTATGATAGAGGGCTGTGAGACTTTGACCTGAGTGCAAAAATGGATGATCTAGACCCTTCCAGAGCTGAGATATCGAAATTCAAAATTTCGACCCGAAAAAAAAACGACAGTGTTACCCCTTTCGTTTTTTTTCATTTTTGGGCGAAAAATTAAGTTTCTCCAATCTTCTCAAAACTCTGGATTATGATAGAGGGCCACGAGACTTTGAACTGAGTGCAAAAATGGAGGCTCTAGACCCTTCCAGAGCTGAGATATAAACATTCAAAATTTCGACCCGAAAAAAAAACGACAGTGTTACCCCTTTCATTTTTTTCGTTTTCGGGCGAAAAATTAAGTTTCTCCAATCTTGTCAAAACTCTGGATTATGATAGACCCTTCCAGAGCTGAGATATCGAAATTCAAAATTTCGACCAGAAAAAAAAACGACAGTGTTACCCCTTTCATTTTTTTCGTTTTCGGGCGAAAACGAAAAATGGAGGCTCTAGACCCTTCCTGAGCTGAGATATTGAGATTCCACGCAGCATTTAAGCCATGGTAAATTATCAGCAAACATTTTTTTTTTTAAGTGAACTACTCCTTTAAGCAACTTAAAATGACGAAGTTGCATCGCTTGTCATGTGACTGGGCCTTGAGAATCATAGTAGAAATGGTGTTTGATTTCCACTAAGAACTCCCTGGTGCTAAAATGTGTATTTCTCCCTCCTGTCAGGTAATCAGGGCGGCATGGGCAGCAGTTACTATGGCGGAGGAAGCCGTGGATCCATGGGAATGAACGGCCTCGGCAGCGGCATGGGGGGAGGCTGGGGGATGTAGGCCTCCGGGGGTTTCATAGCTGGTTCATTATCCATGACAAACCTTAATTTGAACAGTGTCGTCTTTCGTTTGTTTGTTCTTTGTTCCTTGCTCCCTTCTAAGTTCTGTTTCTGAGCTTTACACAAGTACATTTATTTTTCCCTGTTGACCTGGTTGAGGAAAATTCTTTTCCTAGAGTTAGTAATTTATGCTGAAATGTGACAGCCCATGTATCACACTGGAGAGGTGCCTGTAATTCTGTTTACAGTCAAGTATAAAAAGAGGTGATTTTTGTTTCCTCGTTTCAGGATACTATAGGCCAACTTTATCAAAGCCTTTAGTACAGGTTGACGTCTTTGCACATGGAGGTTTCACTCTGTCAGCGAATGTAGCACATCGTATCTTAAACTTTTTGCTCCAGCAAAGGTGTTTTGCATGTACTTAATGCTTAATCCAGGCTGAAAAGTTTAAAAGGTAAAAAAAAAAAGTGTATTATTTTAAAGTATGGTGGGAAGTGAAGGGGTTTCATTTAGATGCATGTTACTGTTTGCATTTGGAAAAGCGTTTGCATTTGCTCCCCCCCCCCAAAAAAAAATGTATCACCTGTGATTTCAGTGGACAAATGTTTTGATTCCTCATGTCTTCATACTTCAAAGCAGTGTTTATTAAACCATACACAATTCTATAAAATCTCCAGAGACTTCATTACAGCTTCATGAACAGAACAGGAGACGAGAGAGGGTACAACACAGAAAACTGACATACAATCTAAAATATACATTTTGTCTTCAGAGAGCCTTACAAAAATTTGACTGGTAAGAGCAAAAAAAGTTGAAATGAAAATACAATCCATTTGCGCTTTAGTCTTGCATAAGATAATGTAACTTTACCCCTGGACAAGGAAAAATCATTTAGACTTTGAGCCTCATCTGTGACACAAGCAATATAAATGTTCAAGTTGTTTACAAAACCAAAATGTTTGCATTTGAAAGTTTGTTTTATGAATGGTTGATACATTTTCTTTAATAATTCACACATACCCACTGACGTATGATAACTGGCCTCATTTTGACTGAGGTGAGCTCTAGTATGTGTTTGTAAGACAGTTTGTGGATTAAATCTTTATAGCACAAGCACATGTACGCTAAAAAACATTATAATTCACCAATGCTTTGTCTCATTAAATTTGACACTAATCAGAATTTACAAAACCGTTACAAATGACATTCAGTCCTGTTTTGATAAGAGACACAACTAAAGCCTAAAAAGCACCAAGAGTATCAAAAAATAATTCTTCTACCTTCTCTCTTGGTGAACATCTGAAAGGCTTCTAAGTGTTAGTTTGGCTCCCTATTTATCAGTATAAATACAGTCATTTATCCTAGTGTCTTCCTGTCCAAGAAACATTGCATATGATTTTGCAACAATCAATAGGTTTAGTCAAACGGAAGCCATTGGTGCCACAAGAAATGAATGCATAAGTGTTAAAAATACAAAGAGATCAAGAGTGGATTATTAGAGCTGGCCTGCAGTTTCACACACATGATCGGCAGAGACGTGAATCAGTGTCAGGAGGCGCTGGAGCTCCTCTGGAGCAGAAGGGAATGGCAGACGTCACATACCCGGACGGGTCTGGGGTACGAGGGCAAAGCCAGCTCATTACTGGAACAGTTGCTGCAGTAGATGTCTCCACAGTTCCTGCAATGGTGCTTTAAACAGAAACACAAGAATGGAGTTACTCGCCAAAGGACTGAGACATAGTGATTGACAGAGTAGAACTTCACTCACTTTTCTCCGAGCGATTGAGAATTCTTTTTGGCACTGTTTGCACTGTGTAGCTTCGTCGTCTTTTAGCCAGGCCTGACCCTAGAGCAGATATTACAACATCAATCGCCATTATCATACTGGAAGTTACCTTTGAAAGAATGACGTTTTATTCAGAAAGGATGCATTAAATTGATCAAAAGTGACAGTAAAGACATTTATGATGTAACAAAATATTTCAAATAAATGCTGTTCTTTTGAACTTTCTATTCATCAAATTTTTAGTTTCCATAAAAACATTAAGTGGCACAACTGTTTTCAACATTGATAATAATAAGAAATGTTTCTTGAGCACCAAATCAGCATGTTCAAATGATTTCTGAAGGATCATGTAACACTAAATCTTTATATTCATTTTAGGACTGTCAAACTAAATAATCGCTTGACAGCCCTAATATATATATATATATATATATATATATATATATATATAAAGTGCAATAATGTATCTCAATATTTCTATCAAATAAATGCAGCTTTGGTGAGCATAAGAGACTTCTTTCATAAGCATTTACATATCTTACCAACCACAAACCTTTGAATGTTATATACAGTACAAAGAAACAAACCTGAATCTTCATTATTTTTTAATCTAAAATATGCTGCAATAACGTTTGGAAATTTTATTTCCAAGCTTAAACCCAAACAAAGGTGAACTTGCACGAAGCTCTTTTACCTTCAAAGCTTTATTGACCTCTTTGAAGTCCTCCATCTTGAGTTTGGATCTGAAAGTAGGATTATAGAGTAAGACTACTGTGTTATATCAGACAGGAGGGGTGACAGAGAAATGAAGAGAGAGGGGTCTCACTGGCTGAGATGAAGTCCCATCTCCTGTAGAGCCTGTTCCTGCTCCTCACACAGTTGCTGGAGCTGCTTCTTCTCCTGCCGAAGGTCAAGGAGCTCCTGCGGAGACAAGATGCTGGATCAAAGCAGCCATGACAAAATAAAAAGATACTCATCCTAGCTTTGATTTTGTAGAATGTCAAGTGTTTTATGGTCTGCCCTGGTTAGAGCAGCAGTGTCTCTGACCGTCTGCAGGCCCTGTAGCTGCTGAAGCTGTGTGCGCAGCTCTGTGCTGTTGTCCTGTTCTCTCTGTAGTTCCCTCTGCAGGTTCTGGCGCTGCTCTTTCTCCACGCCGAGCTCGGACTCCAGGCCGGCCCTGTACAAAAGAGAGGACAGCAACAACATGGAGTCAAATGATTTGAAATGATCACAGGGTTTTTAAAATATAATTTAAGGCTTTAGCGTTTTTAGTTCCTGAGCTGAGATATTGAGATCCCACGTAGCATTTATCCCACTATAATGGCAAAAATACTATGTGGGATGTCCATATCTCAGCTCAGGAAGGGTCTAGAGACTCCATTTTTGCACTCAGGTCTAACTCTTATGGGGGGGGGGGGGGTGGCGCGAAAAATTAAGTTTCCCCAATCTTCTCAAAACTCTGGATTCTGATAGAGGGCCATGAGACATAGTCCTGAGTGCAAAAATGGAGGCTCTAGACCCTTCCAGAGCTGAGATATCGAAACTCAAAATTTCGACCAGAAAAAAAACGACAGTGGTACCCCTTATGTTTTTTTGGGGGGGGGCGAAAAATTAAGTTTCCCCAATCTTCTCAAAACTCTGGATTCTGATAGAGGGCCATGAGACTTAGACCTGAGTGCAAAAAGCGAGGCTCTAGACCCTTCCAGAGCTGAGATATCGAAACTCAAAATTTCGACCAGAAAAAAAAAAACGACAGTGGTACCCCTTACGTTTTTTGGGGGGGGGGCGAAAAATTAAGTTTCCCCAATCTTCTCAAAACTCTGGATTCTGATAGAGGGCCATGAGACATAGTCCTGAGTGCAAAAATGGAGGCTCTAGACCCTTCCAGAGCTGAGATATCGAAACTCAAAATTTTGACCCGAAAAAAAAACGACAGTGGTACCCCTTACGTTTTTTTGGGGGGGGGGGCGAAAAATTAAGTTTCCCCAATCTTCTCAAAACTCTGGATTCTGATAGAGGGCCATGAGACATAGTCCTGAGTGCAAAAATGGAGGCTCTAGACCCTTCCAGAGCTGAGATATCGAAACTCAAAATTTCAACCCAAAAAAAAACGACAGTGGTTCCCCTTATGTTTTTTTGGGGGGGGCGAAAAATTAAGTTTCCCCAATCTTCTCAAAACTCTGGATTCTGATAGAGGGCCATGAGACTTAGACCTGAGTGCAAAAAGTGAGGCTCTAGACCCTTCCAGAGCTGAGATATCGAAACTCAAAATTTCGACCAGAAAAAAAAACGACAGTGGTACCCCTTACGTTTTTTTTGGGGGGGCGAAAAATTAAGTTTCCCCAATCTTCTCAAAACTCTGGATTCTGATAGAGGGCCATGAGACATAGTCCTGAGTGCAAAAATGGAGGCTCTAGACCCTTCCAGAGCTGAGATATCGAAACTCAAAATTTCGACCCGAAAAAAAAACGACAGTGGTACCCCTTACGTTTTTTTTGGGGGGGCGAAAAATTAAGTTTCCCCAATCTTCTCAAAACTCTGGATTCTGATAGAGGGCCATGAGACTTAGACCTGAGTGCAAAAATGGAGGCTCTAGACCCTTCCAGAGCTGAGATATCGAAACTCAAAATTTCGACCAGAAAAAAAAAACGACAGTGGTACCCCTTACGTTTTTTTTGGGGGGCGAAAAATTAAGTTTCCCCAATCTTCTCAAAACTCTGGATTCTGATAGAGGGCCATGAGACATAGTCCTGAGTGCAAAAATGGAGGCTCTAGACCCTTCCAGAGCTGAGATATCGAAACTCAAAATTTCGACCCGAAAAAAAACGACAGTGGTACCCCTTACGTTTTTTTTGGGGGGGCGAAAAATTAAGTTTCCCCAATCTTCTCAAAACTCTGGATTCTGATAGAGGGCCATGAGACATAGTCCTGAGTGCAAAAATGGAGGCTCTAGACCCTTCCAGAGCTGAGATATCGAAACTCAAAATTTCGACCCGAAAAAAAAACGACAGTGGTACCCCTTACGTTTTTTTGGGGGGCGAAAAATTAAGTTTCCCCAATCTTCTCAAAACTCTGGATTCTGATAGAGGGCCATGAGACATAGCCCTGAGTGCAAAAATGGAGGCTCTAGACCCTTCCAGAGCTGAGATATCGAAACTCAAAATTTCGACCCGAAAAAAAACGACAGTGGTACCCCTTACGTTTTTTTTGGGGGGGGGGGCGAAAAATTAAGTTTCCCCAATCTTCTCAAAACTCTGGATTCTGATAGAGGGCCATGAGACTTAGACCTGAGTGCAAAAAGCGAGGCTCTAGACCCTTCCAGAGCTGAGATATCGAAAATCAAAATTTCGACCAGAAAAAAAAAACGACAGTGGTACCCCTTACGTTTTTTTGGGGGGGGGCGAAAAATTAAGTTTCCCCAATCTTCTCAAAACTCTGGATTCTGATAAAGGGCCAAGAGACGTAGACCTGAGTGCAAAAATGGAGGCTCTAGACCTTTCCTGGGCTGAGATATTGAGATCCCATGTAGCATTTATCCCACTATTTTTATAATGGCAAAAATGCTACGTGGGATGTCCATATCTCAGCTCAGGAAGGGTCTGGAGACTCCATTTTTGCACTCAGGTCTAAGTCTCATGGCCCTCTACCAGAATCCAGAGTTTCAAGAAGATCAGAGAAACTAAAAATTTCGACCTAAAAAAAACCGAAAGGGGTACCACTGTCGTTTTTTTTTCGGTGCGAAAAAATTAAGTTTCTCCAATCTTCTCAAAACTCTGGATTCTGATAAAGGGCCAAGAGACTTAGACCTGAGTGCAAAAATGGAGGCTCTAGACCCTTCCTGGGCTGAGATATTGAGATCCCATGTAGCATTTATCCCACTATTTTTATAATGGCAAAAATGCTACGTGGGATGTCCATATCTCAGCTCAGGAAGGGTCTGGAGACTCCATTTTTGCACTCAGGTCTAAGTCTCATGGCCCTCTACCAGAATCCAGAGTTTCAAGAAGATCAGAGAAACTCAAAATTTCGACCTAAAAAAAAACCGAAAGGGGTACCACTGTCGTTTTTTTTTCGGTGCGAAAAAATTAAGTTTCTCCAATCTTCTCAAAACTCTGGATTCTGATAAAGGGCCAAGAGACTTAGACCTGAGTGCAAAAATGGAGGCTCTAGACCCTTCCTGGGCTGAGATATTGAGATCCCATGTAGCATTTAACTAATCGAAAATAACCAAAATAATCCAAGGTTTTTATTTAACACCGTGGCTAGACTAACAAATAAACAGACATCACCAGAGCAAAATATACCTTTACAGTTTAGTAGTAATGATTTTATGAATTACTTCAATGCGAAAATAGAAAGCATCCGAAACAAAATTATAAATGTACAATCCGCTATGGTGTCTTATGATTCAGCTTCAATTATGGACCCTCTAGAACAACTAAACCGCTTTACAACGATAGGACAGGAGGAGCTAAATAAACTTATCATTGCATCTAAACCAACAACTTGTTTATTAGATCCAATACCCACTAAACTACTGAAAGAACTATTACCTGTAGTGGAAGAGCCTCTCCTCAATATTATTAACTCGTCTTTATCTTTAGGTCATGTCCCAAAAATATACAAGCTGGCTGTAATAAAACCGCTCATTAAGAAACCACAATTAGATCCAAATAACTTGGCAAATTACAGACCCATTTCAAATCTTCCATTTATGTCCAAAATACTTGAAAAAGTAGTGTCCGCTCAATTGTGCTCTTTTTTGCAAGAAAATGATATCTATGAAAAATTCCAACCAGGATTCAGACCGTATCATAGTACAGAAACTGCGCTAGTTAAAATTACAAATGATTTACTTTTAGCTTCTGACCAAGGCTGTATCTCAATACTAGTCCTACTTGATCTTAGCGCTGCGTTCGACACTATAGATCATATAATACTCTTGGATCGACTACAAAACTTCACCGGTGTCCAGGGACAGGCATTAAGCTGGTTTAGATCGTACTTATCGGACCGTTCTCATTTTGTCTGTTTAAATGGGAAAAAATCAAAGATAACGTCAGTAGACTATGGAGTACCGCAAGGATCGGTTTTAGGCCCTCTGCTATTCTCAATATATATGCTGCCACTTGGTAATATTATAAGAAAACATGGAATTAATTTCCACTGTTACACTGACGACACTCAATTATATATTTCATCACGACCAGATGAAAACACTAACTCATCTAAAATGACAGAGTGTCTCAAAGATATAAAATGCTGGATGACGCGTAATTTCCTGCTATTAAATTCAGATAAAACGGAGGTATTACTTATTGGTCCAAAAAACTACTCACAAAACCTCTCACAATACAACTTTAATATAGACGGATGTCCTGTTACTTTATCCACAACAGTAAAAGACCTGGGTGTTATACTAGACCGCAACTTGTCGTTCGAAAATCATATTTCATATGTTACAAGAACAGCCTTTTTCCACCTTAGAAACATTGCTAAGCTACGTAACATGCTATCTATTTCTGATGCAGAAAAATTAGTTCACGCATTCATGACCTCGAGACTAGATTACTGTAATGATTTATTAGCCGGTTGTCCTGCATCCTCAATAAACAAGCTACAGTTAGTACAAAATGCAGCTGCTAGAGTTCTTACTAGGTCAAGAAAATATGATCATATAACACCGATTTTATCATCTCTACACTGGTTACCTATTAAGTTCCGCATCAACTACAAAATACTACTACTGACCTATAAAGCCCTAAATGGTTTAGCACCTATGTACTTAACGGACCTTCTTTCGCCCTACAATCCACCGCGTTCCTTAAGATCACTAAATTCAAGGCTTCTGGTCATTCCTAGGACATCGAAGTCCAGTAAAGGAGGGAGGGCGTTCTCGCATTTAGCTCCAAAACTCTGGAATGGCCTTCCCGATACGGTCCGAGCCTCTGACTCGCTGACACAGTTCAAAACTAGATTAAAGACGCATCTCTTTAGTCAAGCATTCACATAATGCTTACCTTCTAGTCCTCTGTTATGCCATACGGAACTGTTTGCCACTGAAACTGCTTAACGCACCAGTGGGGCTCGACAGCCTTTTAGACAAACGGGTCGGCGCGTATGGTTGGGTTGCGGAGAGTTCGGGTTACGGAGAGTTTGTGAGTTATAACGGAAATCATTATGAACATCAGCTATGCTAATTATTTCCCATCTGCCTTTCTGCTGTTATCTCGGGACGCTTGTCCCGAGAAAAATGGCGTTCGTCAGGTCCAGTTTTGTGTCCAGCCTCTCACGGGGATTTCGGATGCCCCAACGCCTGTGATGAGACGACTCAACGCCTGTGATGAGACGACTCAACGCCTGCGATATGTTATGGCGCCGTTTGATTCATAAACAATATTTATATTTAATATTTATATTTAAACAATATGAATGTAAGCCACAGGAGAACTGGCCCCCGACTGAGCCTGGGTTCTCCCAAGGTTTTTTCTCCATCCAATCTGATGGAGTTTGGTTCCTTGCCACTGTCGCCTTGCTTTTGGCTTGCTTTGAGCTTGCTCAGTTGGGGTTATTTAGTGTTTAGCAATGTTGTTGATCTGTGTTGTGCTACTTTCATGTTATCACTGTGAAGCTGCTTTGATACAATCTGTATTGTGAAAAGCGCTATATAAATAAATGTGACTTGACTTGACTTGACATTTATCCCACTATTTTTATAATGGCAAAAATGCTACGTGGGATGTCCATATCTCAGCTCAGGAAGGGTCTGGAGACTCCATTTTTGCACTCAGGTCTAAGTCTCATGGACCTCTATCAGAATCCAGAGTTTCAAGAAGATCAGAGAAACTCAAAATTTCGACCTCAAAAAAAAAAAAAAACGAAAGGGGTACCACTGTCGTTTTTTTTTTTTGGTGCGAAAAAATTAAGTTTCTCCAATCTTCTCAAAACTCTGGATTCTGATAGAGGGCCAAGAGACTTAGACCTGAGTGCAAAAATGGAGGCTCTAGACCCTTCCTGAGCTGAGATATTGAGATTCCACATAGCATTTATCCCACTATTTTTATAATGGCAAAAATGCTACGTGGGATGTCCATATCTCAGCTCAGGAAGGGTCTGGAGACTCCATTTTTGCACTCAGGTCTAAGTCTCATGGACCTCTATCAGAATCCAGAGTTTCAAGAAGATCAGAGCAACTCAAAATTTCGACCTAAAAAAAAAACCGAAAGGGGTACCACTGTCGTTTTTTTTTCGGTGTGAAAAAATTAACTTTCTCCAATCTTCTCAAAACTCTGGATTCTGATAAAGGGCCAAGAGACTTAGACCTGAGTGCAAAAATGGAGGCTCTAGACCCTTCCTGGGCTGAGATATTGAGATTCCACATAGCATTTATCCCACTATTTTTATAATGGCAAAAATGCTACGTGGGATGTCCATATCTCAGCTCAGGAAGGGTCTAGAGACTCCATTTTTGCACTCAGGTCTAACTTTTGTGGCCCTCTATCAGAATCCAGAGTTTCAAGAAGATCAGAGAAACTCAAAATTTCGACCTAAAAAAAAACGAAAGGGGTACCACTGTCGTTTTTTTTTTTCGGTGCGAAAAAAACATCAAATATTAGATCAATTTTCCATCGAGGATCGGTCAGGCATTTAAATTTCAAAAGTGAACTTTTTGTGCCATCTAGTCAAATAAGCCATCTCCCCCGGTGCGTTTTTAGCCCCGTTGTACCCTATCAAATGAATTTACCTTGAATACAAGGCAGCTGCTGAAATGTGACAAGTTTGCAGGTATGATATAAACACCACAATGTAAACAAGGTCAAAATGCATCAAGGCCATATACAGAAGCCCAGTTCACACTACCTGAGCGTGTCGAGGTCGGCGAGACGCTTCTGCAGGGCGTTCACTTTCCCCTTCATCTCCGATTTCAGCTCATTCTGGCTCTCATCTGAATTCTTGCGCACATTTTCTGAATTTTGAAGTCTGAGGAGCAAATGCTTGTGTTTAAGTCCATACACTGCATATCACACATACAGGGGTTGGACAATGAAACTGAAACCCCTGGTCTTACAACACAATAATTTGTTAGAATGGTAAGGGCCTCATTTTGCATCCAAATACAGCACCAATTGACAGATAGAAGTCCTTCACAGTGACCAGAGGGATTATGAGCCGTTCCTCTTCCAGAACAGTGTCCAGGTCACTATATGATGCTGGTGGACTCGCTCCTCCAAAACACCTCAATGATATTTAGATCTGGTGACTGTCAGACCATGGGAGATGTTCAACGTCACTTTCATCTTCATCAAACCCTTCTGTCACAAGTCTTGCTGTGTGTGTTGGTGCATGATCATGCAATTTGAGCGGTTTGAGCATCAGGTGCTCATGATCCTCCAGAAGGGTTTGGTAGTCCTCGGCAGTGTCGTGTCCATCAAATACAATCAGGATTGTCATGATATTGGAGCTCAAACCATCACTGATCCACCCGTGCTTCACTAGATGTGAAACCTCCAACATTGGCCAGTGTTTCAGTTTCATTGTCCAACCCCTGTATCTCCAATGTGTACCCAAAATGAAACTTCTGTCATTATGTTGTTTCAAACCTGTATGACTTGTTCCCCCAAAGCAAGAAAAAAAGAGAGTTACCCAGGTTTGAAACAAGACAAGGGTGAGTTTTGGGTGAATGATTCCTTAAATGTGTACCTCTGCTCCATTTCTGTCATGGCAGCCTCCATCTGAGTCATCTTCTTTTCCAGTTGTAGCATGTCCTCCACCTTTTTCTGGGCCACTCGGTCAGACTCCTTATGGGTCAGACGTAAATATATATTGGTTACAAATAGTCCTATTCCAGTTAACATCATGCATAACATCATGTAACACCTGTGCTTTGTTGAACATCTGTATGTTGAGATTCTTGACTTGGTCCAGTTGTTGTCGTAGTGCGACAAGCGAGTCTTGTTTCTCATGCGTGTCCTTTTCCAGAAGTTTCATGGCAACTTCTATTTCCTGTTTCATGCCGATTTGCAGCTCCAGCTCCTTTTGTAGCTCCTGGACAAACAGTGCATGTGATTGGCTCTACACAATGTTATATACACTGCCCGGCCACACACTCCACACATCTAGGGTTAGAAGAACTGTTGCCAAACATACAACATGCTAGAAACATAATAATCACTACAATAATGATCCAATCATAGACGCTTAAAGTCCCCAAGAAAATTATATCTTGTAACTTTTCTTGAGACGCCCCTGCTTCACAGCAGATAATGATATGCTAAAGCCCGCCGGCACATTGAGTAGTTTGTGATGTCAGAAACACTGTGTTTTTGAGACTCTTTTTTCCACAGCAGTTTTAAGGAGAAAATACTTACTAATGGCTTTGACTTATGACTTTGTACATGATTTGTCTTAAAGGAACACAGCAACTTTTGGGGACTTATTCACCATCCGTATCCCCCAGAGTTAGATAAGTCCATTCATACCCTTCTCATCTCCGTGCGTGCCGTAACAAAGTCTTAAATAGGCAAAGTCTTAAAGCTAGCTAGCCTAGCTTAGCACAAATACTGAAGGTAAACGGCTCTGTCTAACCTACTGCTCCCAATAAGTGACAAAATAATGCCAACATTTTAATGTTACATTTACAACATTTAACATGTTATTTGTACGCACATATGTGACTATACAAATCACTATGTTGGCGTTATTTTGTCACTTATTGGGAGCAGTTGGCTAGATGGAGCCGTTTACCTCCAGTATTTGTGCTAAGCTAGGCTAGGCTAGCTAGCTTTAAGACTTTGCCAATTTAAATCCAAACAGTGACTTTTTTTGGCCGGGCAGTGTACTATGCAATACAATATTGACTCCAAATCAAAAATAAGTGTACATCCTTACCTGCCGTATTCGTTTCTCCTCCTTGTACTGCTTCCAAACTACATTGTACATTTCATCCAAACCCTGACGTGTCTGCCGATATGTTTCCAGCTCCACCTGGCTGTCTTGCATAGTCACCTAAAACGTTCCAAATGTGAGGCAAATTTGTCTTCACTTGGTAAATAAAACTGGCCAGATGATCAGTCTAACTTTTTTTGGAATTGCTTTTATTTTCTCCATTTCACCTGATGGATTTTGGGTTCCTTGTGATTGTCACATTTGGCTTGCTAAGTTGGGGCTTTAATGGCATTTAACATTAAAGGGTTAGTTCACCCAAAAATGAAAATTAAGTCATTAATTACTCACCCCCATGCTGTACCAACCCCGTAAGACCTTCGTTCGTCTTCGGAACACAAATAAAGATATTTTTGATTAAATTTGAGAGCTGTATAACTACCACATTGGCTCCTAAAGGACTGCCTCTTGACGGCCCAGAAAGTCAATGAAGAAAATGTTTAAATATCCCAAGTGACTTCCGTGGCTCAACTATATGTTTATCAAGCGACGCGAATACTTTTTGTGCGAAAAAACAAACAAAAATAACGAGTTTATTCGACTATTTCTTTTCTTCCTTGTAGGCCAGAACGAGACTTCCTTAGATTTCCACGACGCATGCGCGAGATTTGCGATCTGCTCACATCAGCTTACACCACTTCAGATCGCAATTCTCGCGCATGCGTCGTGGAAATCTAAGGAAGTCTCGTTCTGGCCTACAAGGAAGAAAAGAAATAGTCGAATAAACTCGTTATTTTTGTTTGTTTTTTCGCACAAAAAGTATTCGCGTCGCTTGATAAACATATAGTTGAGCCACGGTAGTCACTTGGGATATTTAAACATTTTCTTCATTGACTTTCTGGGCCGTCAAGAGGCAGTCCTTTAGGAGCCAATGTGGTAGTTATACAGCTCTCAAATTTAATCAAAAATATCTTTATTTGTGTTCCGAAGACGAACGAAGGTCTTACGGGGTTGGTACAGCATGGGGGTGAGTAATTAATGACTTAATTTTCATTTTTGGGTGAACTAACCCTTTAAATAATATTATTGATTTGACTGCACTGACACTCAGATGGGAACAACAATTGAACTGAATTGAGCTGGTTGATGGACCTAGAACTGAACTCATTTGATAATTTGAGACGTTTCGTTGCTATGATACAGAATATCCGCAGCACAGTTTGAATGTTTTGACAGTTGTCAGTGTGGTATTAATCCCGCCCCTCCTCCACTGTGATTGGAGAGCTGGGTAAAAGGTGACAGTGATGAGCGCTGCGTTTTATCCAAAGTTGAACATTTTTCAACTCTCAGCGACCAGTAAAAAACTCTGGGCTAAAAATGGGGATAAAAATGCTCAGCGCCTCGTCACGCTCATGGCGTTTAAAAAACGCGGCGCTCCCATTGAAAACAATTGAAAACATACGCCAGGCGCATGGAAAAACGCTTTGGATGACTCAATTGTCTGTATAGAGCTGATTTACAGCAGAATTAGAATTGGTCTCATATTTGATGAAGTCATTGATCATAATTTTCCTGTTTATCACTGTGAACCTGCTTTGAAAATCTGTATTGTTTAAAGTGCTATATAAATAAAGGTGACTTGACAAAACCCATTTCTGGCCATTGTTATGCCTGGTTCAGATTAGACGATTTTTTTTTTGCTTGTAACGATAGTCACTGTGTCAAACAACGCAATTTTGACTCCTAAAATCTTGTCACGTCGTGGACAAGACATGTCAGACTACATGTTGCTTCCTGACCAGTCATCGCATGCCGTCTTTAACGGCGCGCGTGATGTCATCGTGAAGGCGAAACTAGTATCGAGTGATTTCCGGAAACGAACGTAAACAAACAATGGATGAAGCGGTGAGTGTTGTCTTGGCTGTCCTGTATTCAGAAAAAAGTAAAAAGAGAGAGAAAACCCGACAATGGACACGTTCCTGGATTGGTCGAAGAGGGCAGGATGGGCTGTCAATCCTCCAAAGAGAACTTGAGGGAAAATATTGTTTTCTTATATATTTTTACTTTTAGTTTTAACGTTAGCACCATCGTCTCTTTTTCGTTTCGCCATTTTTGAAAGTTGTGTACGGAAAAGCTTCTGTGCTCCTATTGGTCAACCTCATACATGTGACGGAACCGTCGTGGACGACCGTTAAAAAAATTAAACATGCTAGTCTTTTTGTCCCGATGTCGTGAAGCATCACAGACGCGACGTAGGTTGTCGCCCACTATGACACACTATACGAGATGATACTATCGAATCTTGCGTCCCGACGCCCGTTGTTGTTTTTACGAATCCTCACAACACCCTACGTCAAATGGATCGGGCTAAAATCGTGTAATCTAAACCAGGCACTAGTCTATCAGCATTAGCAGTTGCAAAATTATGCTACTAACATTTTCTTTCGAGTTTTTTTTACAAATGAATTCACTCAGACATTTATCTTGTAACTCTCACCTCCTCTTTCCTCTGACTATTTTGAAGAATATTCGAATTTTCTTGTTTAAGTTGTTCCTGCTCTTCACACAGAGCGTTGATTCTGTCGGTGGCTGCTGTAAGCTGTATACAAGACATAAAATAAGTCAAAAAAAATAAGTTTTTCATGTTAATTCTGTATTTAACAGAGTGCATGAACAAATCAAAATATGCAAAAGCACATCATAGGCCTGTTTACGCCTGGTCAAATCATGTTTAGTTACTGATTGGATAGCTATTTGATTTGTTAAAACATTTCCATTTACAGTACACTTGTTGGTCCACATTAATGTGTTTCCGCAGTTCAATCTTAAATTCCTGTGCTTTATGCAAATTTAAGCCGCATTTCATTTATTTCTATGCAATTTATTCACCAAGCATGATGATGTTATGGATATTAAAAGTAGAAATGGTGAGCTCCATATATGGTTATTTCAGGGTGGAGATGCGTACACACAATCTTCTGCTGACTGAGTTTTATAAATTGAATTTTGTGCAGGTTCTGGCGTACACATGGTTTTATAAATCAGAAAACATTTGTAAAACGCATATCCAAAATCTAGCTTTTGTGCGCATGCACACTTTCAGGATGAAATCTACTGAAAGTTTTATAAACGAGGCGCCTGGTCTTTTAATGATCAGATCGGTAACCAATCAGAGAAAACGCATGAGGTGATCGGGTGTAAACAGCCCCATAAAGTCCATAAAAATCAATGCAACAGTTTCTTTGTGTACAGTGTTTTCACCTCCTCAATGAGTTTGCTGTTGGTCTTCTCCAGTGAGTCCATCTTGACCTGAAGATCCGTCACCGTGCAGCTCAGATGCCGGTTCAGTTCTTCTATGTAGTGCTTCTGGTCAAGAATGGCTGTCATTTTTGAATCACTGTTAAATAATCCGAAAGAGTCAACATTACTGAACATTGTTGCACAGAATACAATTGTGACATTAAAGGAATAGTTCACTTTTGCTGATAATTAACTCACCCCCATGTCATCCAAGATGTCCATGTTTTTCTTTCTTCAGTCGAAAAGAAATTAAGGTTTTTGATGAAAACATTCCAGCATTTTTCTCCATATAATGCACTTCAATGGGAACCAAACGGTTCAAGGTCCAAAAGACAGTTTCAGTGCAAACTGCAAACTGTTCAAAGGGCTTTAAACGATTCCAGACAATGAATAAGGGTCTTATCAAGCGAAATGATCCCTCATTTAATGAATAAATAACAAAGCTTAAGTTTTATAAGCTCAAATGCTCGCCTTGCTCTGTTTTGTTTTTTTAATGAGCGATCAGAGCAATCAGCTTGATAAGACCCTTATTCATCGTCTGGAATCGTTTAAAGCCCTTTGAACAGTTTGCACTGAAACTGTCTTCTGGACCTTGAACCGTTTGGTTCCCACTGAAGTCCATTATATGGAGAAAAATGCTGGAATGTTTTAATCAAAAACCTTAATTTCTTTTTGACTGAAGAAAGAATGACATGGACATCTTGGATGACATGGGGGTGAGTGAATTATCAGCAAAAGTTTTTCCAAAAGTGAACTACTCCTTTAAAGGGAAAGTTTACCCAAAAATGAAGATTTTGTCATAGTTTACTCACCTTCAAGTCATTTTTAAACACAAAAGAAGATATTTTAATGATGGTAGCCATTGTCTTTTTGTTTTGTTTTCTACAATGGAAGTCAATTGCTATCCGTCAACTTTCAGGTTATTTAACATTCTGTAAAAGTGTTCAAAAGAAGAAAAAACTAATACAGTTTTAGAACAACTTGAGAGTGAGTAAGCGATGACAAAATCTTTATTTTCACAATTATTTCCTAAATGATCATCACACACTCACTCTTGCGTGGTCTCAGTTGCTTGCGAATCCTTTAGATACATTGAGAAGTCAATGACGCACACCTGCAGCAAAAAGAAAGCAGTGTTTAGTGTCAATGAGCACATCTGGAAGCCTCGTTTTTAATGGCTACATGTCTCACCTGAGAATCAAGATCCTCTCCTTTCACACACAAATTTGCATCGATGACATTCAGACCCACCAGCATCCCTACGATCACAGTCCCCTCTTCCTCCATTATAAGAGCCCCAGGCTCATAAAATTCCCTGAGAAAGAAACAAATAAGGAATTTACTTTGGGAAACACAGGATTTAATAGCACTACAATCTTTTGTATGATATCAAATCAATTCTGTACAAGCATTGAAGATTATTATTTTTTCAATGACTTAACTGGTCTTACCCAAGAAGGTCTTTTCTATTAATAAGCACCTTCATGTAGTCTGCTATCTTTTTCTGCATAAGAGCCAGATGCAGCCATGCTCGAGCTCGACCAAGGCCTGTCCTGAAACAACACAAAACCTATGAATGTATAACAAAACAAAATGAATGTAAAGAGCAAATGCATGCCCTCTCCTATTCCCTGATTCAAACATGATATTACATCCAACACAAGCGCCTGTGAGTGATGGGCACCTACTTGATTCCAGGCATATCACGCACACTGGTGGCAATATCAGCTGACTCAGGGCTCAGTTTCTCGATCAACTCCAGAGGAGCCCAGATTGACTTATTCTGACCAATGAAAGATTTCCTCACTGCCCATGAGGAAAGATAGAAACATGCAGGATTTAGGCCATAAAAACGGGTTCATTTCACAAAACATGCCAACAACATATTTAGCTCTTGCACCCTGAAATCAAAGACAATTAAGCACATTTTCATATTATTGAACTTTGAAGAAGGGTTGTTGGTAAATAAAATTAAAAAAAAGAAAACATTTTGATTACTTGAAATAAAATAAATATTAACTTTCATAAATATATATATATATATATATATATAACATTACACAGTAAGGGTCTTTTTAGGAGAAATTAAATACAGTATAATACATGTTATACATATTATACATATTATATAAAAACAATTTAAGAAATGAATACTTTTATTCAGCAAGGATGCATAAAATTGATGAAAGGTGACAGTAAGGACATTTATAATATTACAAAAGCTTTCTATTAGACAAATTTCCAACTTTCTATTAATCAAAAAATCTGAAAAAAAATTGTACACAACTGTTTTCAACATTGATAATAATAGTAATAAATGTCTCTATATTAGAATGATTTCTAAAGGTTCATGTGACTGAAGATATAATTTCCATTTTACTATGTATTCAAATAGAAAACAGTTATTTTAAATAGCAAAAATATTTCAAAATATTTTATAATTTATTTTACAATACAATATTTTTTTTGCTGTATTTTGGATCAAATAAACGCAGCCTTGGTGAGCATATATATATATATATGAAAATACCTCTTATAATAACAATAAACAATATGTATACGTATATATATCATGTGTACTATATATATATATATATATATATATATAAGTCCTTGTACTTTACACTTGTGTGTGTTTTATTTTTTTTAATTTGGGTGTGTGTGTGTGTGTGGGGGGGGGGGGTTGGGTGGTTATGGACTCAATCTACTTCATCTACGCCAACTATGTTGAATGCATAAACATAGAATACCTTTATGATAGAATAGCTTTATGTCCCATCTCACCTTTTAAACCATGTTTAAGGCAATGCTCCAGAACCACGAAGAACTGCTGCAGAGGTGGATACTCAGAGTCCAGCGTGCGTCCGAGACTGAGCGAGGACTGGATCAGAACCTTAATGCTGAGCTTCATCATGCTGAGGAGATTCGACCGCTCCACCACCATGGGATCCTTCACAGCTGGACAGATCCGAGACAACACAGATGCATTAACACACGAACACAGCAAACACTTCCTGTGGCATCTGCAAAACTACTCACTCAGCACACTCGGTTAGTTTAACTGGTGAGTCAGTGTAATTAAGTGGAAACGCAAAACAATGACTCAAATATTGCAGTATCTTAGAACAACAACAAAAAGCCTTAAATGGTTACGGAACTCGAGGGGAAGTGGAAGTTCCGGCTAGAGAAAAAATATCCAGTCAGGAAGCAGGTGCATTATTTAATTCCTGTACACTCTAATGGTCAAAAAAAAAAAAAACAATTATGTCATATGTTGCCATTAAATATATATATAAAAAGCTACAGATGTAGGGCAACATAACACTGGTGGTATTAAAAAGTCGCTTGTCAAGTCAAGTCAAGTCACATTTATTTATATAGCGCTTTTCACAATACAGATTGTATCAAAGCAGCTTCACAGTGATAACTTGTTATAATAATCATGCCGAATAATGACCAGATGAGTCGCAAGGATTCAGCTCATGAATAGATTAACCTGTTTGATGCAATAACTTGGACCTGGACATTCTTTTGAATGGTTTTGTGGTATCTAGGTCTCTGTTACAAAACTGTACTGGTGTGTTTATATGCTATCAAACGGTAATATCATGGTTCTTTATCATATAACAGGGTCTTGAAATTCGAATATATTCTTATACATTTGTATTTGGGAGGCTAACATGACATTTCAGCAGTAGACTGGTATGCTATAAATTTAGCTACTTTAACTTTCGTACACTGACTGTATAATTATTATTCATGCAGTTTCATATTTCTCATCAAGCAAATGCTTTACATTCATCATGTCAAGTATGACAGGGTTTTTTAAACTGGGGTCCTGGGGTCATAGGGGAGAGCTAGAGGGTCTATGGAAAAGTTTAAAAGAGAAAAAGTGTCAAATAAAATATATTAATTAATTAATGAACTCGGGTCGATGAAAGCCCTCGGTTCCACTTCAGAACCGAGCTGCTCCGGACACCCCCACTCAACCTCAGAGTCGCGAGCCTCTGGGACCTTCCCGGAACAAGATATCGGCCGTTTTATCCGGAACTCACCCATGTATAAGCCACAAGCGGACGTAACTCAGGAAGGGAGCCGCCACACCCAAGGTTCAGAACTCTGGGGTCAAGGACCCCCTGAGGAGCCCTTCCTAACCCCAGAGTTCAAAGCCCGGGGACATCCCCCATAGAATATGGTAGATTTATATATATGAAGAGTTCAGATGCAAAAGCCTCTAAATGCCATTTGAAATTTTCTTCTTTAATGATGATTTTTGTCAAACTTGTATATTTAAGTTCAGTAATTTCACTTAAATGACAATTAATAGGTAATTACCAATGCCATTTAAGTGAAATCACTGAACTTAAATATACAAGCTTGATAAAAATGATCATTCTAGAAGAAAATTTCAAATGGCATTTAGAGGCTTTTGCATCTGAACTCTTCATATATATAATGCATCAACAGCATTTTCAAAGTAGGATTGGGTATTTGTGCATGACAGGTACCAGATGGAGAAGCTGTCTTTTAAAACTTTAGGATGAGGGTCCCTCCTCACACAAGGATGATTGTATTTGGGAGTCTGTGGCATTTAAGACTGAAAATCCATGATTTATGAAACTTCATGCAATATAAGTTTTAAATAGCTAACGTTACTTGTTTCAAGCTTCAGGGTTATTTAAAAAGGCAGCAAACAGGTTTTCAAACTTCATGGTAATTCAATACACATTCCCTTATCCATTCATACAAATATGAACGTAATGTTTTAAGTTATTTATCAACTAACCAATTTACATTGTGATATTACCATTGTACGTGCATGTATGTTTTTATACAATATCATGGGAATACCCTGGTTCCATGGTAATACCTTTTTACTTTTATGTTAGTTCTGTTATTGACTACTTATCTTAGTAAAGTAAATGCAGTCAGTGAGCGTTCTTATCCCTGTAGTTAAATGTCAGGCTGAGGAACAGGTGTCCTACCTGCTGTCTTCATGGGATCAGAGGTGTCAGAGGTGTGCTGTGATGTGTCAGATCCCTTTAACCCCGCACTGTAATGATTCACTCCGATGCTGAGTGTCTCCGACGCTTTACGAGCAAACGAAAAAATCGGTGCAGACCAAGAGCTGTCTGCCGGTTTGTCCTTCTGGACGTCGTCGGTATCATTAGCGACATCATTTTGCACCGGTTCCGTAGCCTCTGGGTCTTCTTCTTTTGCATGAACGTCCTCGCATTCAACTTTCGTGTTTGGGTCCTCCTCGTCCGCCATGTTTACTTGTCAAAACATGTGACTCGAGGCCAAAGCAATCGAGTTTGATCGCTCAGGGGAGACAAATCCATTAGCGAGCGAGCAGATTTTTCCTTTCAAAACAAATCTTTAGCCATCGATTTAAACAAATTAAAATTATTATTACATTATTTAAAATCTTAAATAAATGAAATATAAAATATAATCAAAATTAAAAGGGATTAAAAAACAGATTGAAAGACAGACAGACAAACAGATCGTCAGGTAGATAAATTGTTAACCTTTTTTAAGTTTAACCTGCGATACACTTAAAAATAGAAACAGCAAATTTGATCTTTATGCTGGTTTCTCTCTCTGTGTAACAGTTCAAAAATTCCACTAGATGGCTGTAGCCAACCCTGCTTTGCTTATTTGAATGGTGAATCTTTTTTTTACAGTCTTTGGGTGAAACACTGATCATAAATATGCATGATGCAGTTTGTTCAGTGTTGTTGTGGTCCTCCTATATATTAAAACAGGGAAAGATGTCTCTGATGCGAAGTACTTTTTAAGATTTCAGAACAGCCGTCCTAATGTATAGGTGTATAGGCCTACATTTTATTTGTAAAAGTCTCTCTTGATTTCCAATAATTGTGATGGATTAACACAAGTCACTAGGTGTGACAATGAAAGAATGCAGTCGTGGTTAAAGGAGTAGTTCACTTTAAAAAAAAAAAAAAACTTTTGCTGATAATTTACTCACCCCCATGTCATCCAAGATGTCCAAGTCTTTCTTTCTTGAAAAGAAATTATGGTTTTTGATGAAAACATTATAGGATTTTCTACATATATTGGACTTTATTGAGAACCAAATGGTTCAAGGTCCAAATGAGAGTTTCAGTGCAGATTCAAAGAGCTTTAAAGACGATGAATAAGAGTCTTATCAAGGACCCTTCGAGTCATGACTCGAAAAAAGATTTGTTCATTTTGATGAACGAGTTTGAACAGGAGAGTCACAAACACTCATCACAGAACAGAGCAAGGCGAGCATTTGTGCTTATAAAATGTAAACTTTTTTATTTATTTATTAAATGAGTGATCGCTTCGCTAGATAAGACCCTTATTCATCGTCTAGTGTCATTTAAAGCCGTTTGAAGCTGCACTGAAACTGTCTTTTGGACCTTGAACCGTTTGGTTCCCAATGAAGTCCATTATATGGAGAAAATCCTGGAATGTTTTCATCAAAAACCTTAATTTATTTTCGACTGAAGAAAGAAAGACTTGGCTATCTTGTTTGACATGGGGGTGAGTAAATTATCAGCAAAAGTTTTTTTAAAAGTGAACTAGCCCTTTAAGGCCGGGTGTTAAGGATTAAGGAGAATTAAATTATATGTCAGATCTTAACAAACAATTTAATGTTTGGTCATGAATGTTCTCATTCATTTAATCACACTAGATTGCCAGAAAAGGAAATTAAGTCTGAAGTCAAATACAGCTGAACCTGGTTGCCTCACTTCGGGGATTTGTAGAGACCAGCCTATGTTCATGTCATCATCAAATCATTAGTCATTGTTTGTTTTAGTTATCATGCATATTATACATTTTTGATCTGAGTGAAATTTAATGACAAGCAACTTTTTAATTATTTTTCAAGCCTTTAGCATAAATGTCAATATGTCAAATAAATTGTGATAGGCCTGTATTGACTATTCCAGTAACAATGGCAATTTATTTGTGAAATATGCATTAACTAAAATGTAGTATTACTAACACCAGAATACACCAGTTGTTTAAAATACTGTATATATTATGAAGTAAATTAACCAGGGGAAAATGGAAGAGAACATTTTTTCCAACATAAATAAATAATAAAAACGGCAAGCTTGACACACAATCTCGCTCTAGTGGGCGTGGCCACACCGTCATGGTCATATTTAAACGGCTGTCAGAGTGAGACGCGGCTGAATTTTAACCTTGACGCACAAGAGACGCTCACAGTAACACTCGAAAACAAAAAGTAACAATCTCCTGTGACTTTAAAGGAATTAACAGAGCGGGAAGGATTTTATTTTTAACAACTGATTCAATCGTCGTCATGACCAGAAGGGAAAATATGCAGTTTTTAACACTTTTACGTCTTTTTGTCTTTACCATCGGTGAGTAGGCTAACGTTAAATCTGACAAACGGTCACTTGGTGCTGAAGGGTGTCGAATTTCAATCATGAGCTAGTTATATAAATGTAAAATAATGTTTTTTTTTTTTATATAAAAATGCTTTGTATTTCTGTGTAATTTCATAAAATGGCTTGTTTAGTGCTTAACACAGACTTTGTTTAACCCTTTAAAAACTAGGATTCAGTACTGTATCTATTAATGGGTCAACAATGTCATTCTGTTTTAAGAATATTCTGGGATATATTTATTTTCGTCTCATGCGATCATTCGTTAGCTCAGTGTCTGTGCATGCGAGATTTTTTGTAAATGAAGCCTCTCAGCACCCTCTATGGGTATTAGGTAATGCACTCAAACTATTATTAGTTTCAAAACATGCTTATTTGTATGTTAGCCTCGACACATTGAAATAAATTGTAGTTAAAATGGAAAATATTAGTGGTCTCTTTGCATTAATGAAGGAAAAATATTAAGAAATACAATATTGAGACCCCCTGTGAGTATATTACTTACACTGTGGTCAACAATCCACTGACTAACCGTTAACAATCAGCCTAACTAATTAAGTTTTAATGGCTATTTCCTATGTTTTCCCATTCAGTGGCTGTCACGTCAATGAGCTGTGCGTCTATAGAGCGGTTCGAGAGCCAGAGGCCTGCACAGACAGCTGAGATTGATCTTTTGGAGGCAATGAATGAGAAGAGAACTACTTCGGACGACAAGCAAGTGGAATACGAGGAGGAAAGCGAGGAGTATTACTATGACGATGATGAGGATGATGAGTTTTCGGGGGATTATGGGCTGCCGTTGGGTAATTGTCTCTTTTTTTGCAAGTGTGGCTTACTTGGTGTGTCGTGAAATTCGTTTCAATAAGTTAACTGTATATTTTCTCTCCTCTCCCACCAAAACAGTTGCGTTTTCAAGCAAACCCAAAGACCCGAGTGCAGTTTTGAATGCAGAGAAAACTGAAGATTTAAAGAGGAAGAGGCTCGGAAGGAAGAAAGGAAAAGGAAAGGGAAAAGGCAAGAAAAGGAACCCTTGTCTAATAAAGTACAAGGACTTTTGTATCCATGGAACCTGCCAGTACCTGAGGGACTTGAAGGGGCCCTCATGCATGTAAGCACATCCCTTAAGCCATATTGCCTTTTTATGTCTATTATATTTAAATAGTTCTGTTTTATAGCCGTGAATGAGAATCAATGGTCATTTTTTCCCCACAGATGTGACTCTGGCTACTCAGGAGAGCGCTGTCACCTTTTCTACCTGGAAGTAAAGACGAGTGGTGAGGCGTACGACCGCACTACGGCCCTCGCTGTGGTGGCTGTGGTTCTCTCTTCGTTATGTCTCACCATCATTGGACTTCTCCTGGCACTCAGGTTTGTTTTTAACCCCCCTTTTTAGTTTCTAAGCAAGTGGATATGTGCAGTGCAGTTTATCATAACGTCAGTCCTTTTATCATCAAGGTTTCACAAGCAAGGCGCATACAATGTGGAAAATGAGGAGAAGGTGAAACTGGGAGCCGCCCCACACCACTAAGCGAGACGGGAGAGGACGGTGAGTGAAGTCATCCATTTGTATACACTGCATAAACTCATCCAGCCTGACTTGACTCAGTCGCTTGACATCTGGGTTCTTGTTTTATTTCAGGGCAACCGTGTGGAAATTCTACCTCAAAATGAAGTGGCAAAGTCGAATGTTGTGGAGAGCACAGCGTCTTGGAGAAGAGGGAATAGTTACCGCGTTTTTTGGCAGGACTCGTGAACTGCCTGACTCGCAAATGACTCGCTAAAAGGTTCGCAGGAGAGCTCAAATCCTGCCACCAACTGGAACTATGACGGACGGACTCGGTTGGGAAGAACCTGAGCCGTTCGATACAGAATAAGAAGGAACTCTTCGGGGTTGGGAATGTAGTTTGTGTTTTAGGGGCTTGGCTTTTTCTAGTACTGAAGAAGCTTTGCCTGAAATGAGTATTCTTACAAATAAGCATTTTTGTTTGTCTCGTGCACTGTGTATTTAATCGTTGCTGGCTATGCTTTAATTTATTTATTTATGTATATATATATATCTATTAATATTTATTTGGATGTAGACCAACCTTGTCCAGCCATAATGCACTGGCAACGTATTTGAAAGTCTTTGTGTTTGTTTGTATGACTATGTAAAATTTTATTTATTAAAAAGAGCAATAGTAATCCGTGTCTATTCGGTATGTGGTAGACTCAATCAAAATAATTATTGTATATATACTAAAATAATTAAGTATATATATTACATGCTATTTGATGTTTTGCAAAAATATTTTGGAATTATTATTTGTATTGAAAGTATTTTACAGCAAACTATGAAAAAAAAATTCATATTTCAAGCTTACTTTTTAAGGAGAGAAAAAACTAAACTTTTTTTGGCCAGTAAAATGCACTGTTATTGAACAGTGAGCAAATTATAAAATGTGAATTATTTTGTTTGAGCGGTTCATTTTCTGTTATTTAATTTCAACATCCTGATCTATGAGACAGAAATTGTTTCCTCACTCTCACGTTTTAAGTATGGAGTATTTAAAAAAAAAAAGAATTTCAGACAAATAATAAAGACTCTTTATATAAAAGAACAAATATATTGTATTTTCATGAGAGATTTGTATGCTCACTATGCTCGCAGGAGGAAGATTCCAGTGTTTTGCGATGAGTAATTTCCTCATGAGGGCAGTTACGACCGTTTTCCCATTTTGAGGATATTTTTAAAAACTGGAATAGTGATATGAATACTGTAATGTCTACGTTTTGTCTAGCCTGCCTCCTGCTTTCAATTCCTAAGCTTTCTTTCATGTGACATGCACCTGTATCCTGAACATGTGATCTGCATTGTGGCCCTTTTACATTGACAATAAACACACTTTCACAAACACACCCATCACACAACTTCTCACCTTGCATTACCCGCATAACTCGCTTGCATCATCTTGAAATAGCACTTCCTCTACAGAAAGTTGCGATGCTTGTGTGCTGGCCACACCTTGAGCAACAAGACTTCCATTTTATACTCCGATCTATAAAAACTGATCTGAGACAGTCTCTGAGGAACTCTCACCACAGAGCTCATTTCCTTTTGTATGTTTAAAGTCGGCCTCAGATCTTTTGTTGTTGTTTTTTAACCTTTGACCCTCACTGTTTGAAAACGAGTGGCAAACCACCTCCGCAAAATACACTAACAAGCCCACTTAGCCCAGCTTGTTTCACACACTGCCGGTCTGCTTTAATGCATGACTCATGCTGTTAGTGTGGAAAGCTCCTATGGGTGACATCATTCATGCAGGGGCATCAGAAGATGTGTTTGCCGAGTCCAAACTTCATCACTGTTTGTTACTGATACTAAAGGATAACATGAGCGTCGTTTATTGTTTTATATATGTAGCTTTCGGTAACTGGATATGGCGTGGTCAGCTGACTGACCTGGCAGGGGATACGAGTAGCTCATCACACGCTGGGTGGCCGACGGCTCTCTTTTAGGGATGACATCATTCCCATGCTTTATGAGCTATCCAATCTAACTCAGCAACATCTGTTCGGAATACTGTACATATGGGTTTGGGTCACACCCTGGCAGTACGTTAGGCTTAGAGTTCATAATTCAGGAAGGTTATGATGACATGCACTCAGACATTGCTTGTAGTGGCTCTGCCTTAAGACATCTCCATCGGTTGTGTAAGATGACTCAGTTGAGTAACATTTATTGTTTGCTGGTAAAAACTTGCCTTTTCTCAAAACCTATTTGTTGAGCAAGGTGTTTCCTGCTTTAACAATGGCTCATTTCCATCGTACAATGGAAGTGCGCACACTGACAGTTGGGAAACTCATTAGGCCAGCAGAATGTGTTGGGCTAAAGGCTCGTTTTGCTCACCTTACACTACATTTACACCAAACTTTTCACACCGTTGACTTCTATTCACTTGCATGCCAATTGCGGAGGACTCGTGCAAAGAAGTTTCGTATTTCGCTGTTTCAAAGTTCAAGCTCGGGGAACCCTGATCTGTAAATTTGTATCACGTGAAATCGTGTTACCAAGAGTGGTATGACAGCAGAACCCGGAAGTCGAATTCGCTGCTGGTTCCTTTGAGATTTTCCAATGTTGTTTTTTTTTTCAATTTATGAGTAAGCCTGTGGTAAACATAACTTGACGATACTTTGACGTTTTGTTCAACAAAGTACACTCCACACACTCACAGCCCAAACTTTTTTATGTAGTTAATTATTTAAAAAAAAAAAAAAAACTATAAGGTAGTGTAGATTTAGTCACAACCCTACATCGGTTTGACATTTACTTTTGTATACATTTGATACTTAAGTACTTTTAAAAACAAGCATTTCTGCACTTTTACTGAAAGGAGTAGTTCACTTTAAAAAAAAATGTTGCTGATAATTTACTCACCCCCATGTCATCCAAGATGTCCATGTCTTTCTTTCTTCAGTCGAATGAAATTAAGGTTTTTGATGAAAACATTCCAGGATTTTCTCCATATAATGGACTTCAATGGGAACCAAACGGTTTAAAGTCCAAATGAGAGTTCAGTGCAGCTTCAAAGGGCTTTAAACGACACCAGACGATGAAAAAAAGGGTCTTATCTAGCAAAACGATTGGACATTTAAACAATAAATAAAAAAATGTAAGTTTTATAAGCACAAATGCTCGCCTTGCTCTGTTCTGAGCGTTCATGACTCTCCTGTCTTGTTCATCTTTTTTCGAGTCATGACTCAAAGGGTCCTAGACAAGACCCTTATTCATCGTCTGGTGTCGTTTATATGGAGAAAGTGCATTATATGGAGAAAATCCTGGAATGTTTTCTTCAAAAACCTTAATTTCTTTTCAACTGAAGAAAGAATGACATGGACATCTTGGATGACATGGGGGTGAGTAAATTATCAGCAAAAGTTTTTTTTAAAAGTGAACTACGCCTTTAAGTAAAATCGGTCTTTACAACTTTTACTTATAAGGGAGTGATATTTGACCAGTATCTTTACTCAAGTAAGGAAGGTGTGGACTTTGTCCACCTCTGATTGTAACAGGATTGCAGTAAAGTAGAGTAGATTGCATATTTTTACATTTTGTATGTATTATATGTTAAAGGTGTGATGAGACGTCAAATTACAACCATTGCAGTGTCCGTTGAAAAGTCTAGTGTGACCGCAGCTTTAGATGTTTGTTTTTTCTCACTCACCTGACACCTGTTAAGCAGGGTGTGTGTGTGTGTGCAGCATATTAATGACTCTCTGGCACCGCAGAAGAACAGCTGTCACTCTGACACACTGTCACTCCACCGGTGAAATACGAGCTATGATGGATGAGGTGTCGACAGAGCCATTGTGATTCAACACTGAAAGTGTTGAGCACAGTGACATACTCGATTTCAGCAGGTTCCTATGTGGTTGTTGGTGGCCACAATATAGGAATCATCCGTGTACATAGCACGTGTATGAGTATTGTGCCAAAATGTAACCTTTTTTTGAACCAGCTGTCCACTTAAAGGGGTCATCGGATGCCCCTTTCATATGATTCTTTAGGATCTTCATGTAAAGTCTGTAACATACTTTGGTTAAAATTCCTCAAAGGTTGTTTAAAACAACATCCTTTTTACCTAAACAGTGAACTGGGTTTTTTTCATTGTATGGTGGTTGTGTCCACACACTGCAAAGGCATATTTATATGCAAACACCATATAAAAGTGAATTTTGTATCCGATGACCTCTTTAATATTCAGCAATATTATTGATCTGGGGTGCATTTCCCGAAAGCATCGTTAGTCAATTATGGTCGCAAGTTGGTCGCAATTTCCATTGAACTCTATTGGTAACGACAGAACTTGCGACCATAGTTGGCTAACGATGCTTTCGGGAAATGCACTCCTGACTGATGGAACACCTGTTCAATTTCTCATTAATGCAATTATCTAAACAACCAATCACATGGCAGTTGCTTCAATGCATTTAGGGGTGTGGTCCTGGTCAAGACAATCTCCTGAACTCCAAACTGAATGTCAGAATGGGAAAGAAAGGTGATTTAAGCAATTTTGAGCGTGGCATGATTGTTGGTGCCAGACGGACCAAGTATTTCACAATCTGCTCAGTTACTGGGATTTTGACGCACAACCATTTCTAGGGTTTACAAAGTGATGTCTAGGGTTTACATGGTGTGAAAATGGAAAAACATTCGGTGTGCGGCAGTCCTATGGGCGAAAATGCCTTGTTGATAGTAGAGGTCAGAGGAGAATGGGCCGACTGATTCAAGCTGATAGAAGAGCAGCTTTGACTGAAATAACCACTCGTTACAACCGAGGTATTCAGCAAAGCATTTGTGAAACCACAACACACACAACCTTGAGGCGGATGGGCTACAACAGCAGAAGACCCCACCAGGTACCACTCATCTCCATAAATAGGAAAAAGAGGCTACAATTTGCAAGAGCTCACCAAAATTGGACAGTTGAAGACTGGAAAGATGTTGCCTGGTCTAATGAGTCTCGATTTCTGTTGAGACATTCAGATGGTAGAGTCCGAATTTGGGGTAAACAGAATGAGAACATGGATCCATCATGCCTTGTTACCACTGTGCAGGCTGGTGGTGGTGGTGTAATGGTGTGGGGGATGTTTTCTTGGCACACTTTCAGCTCCTTAGTGCCAATTGGGCATCGTTTAAATGCCACGGCCTACCTGAGCATTGTTTCTGACCATTTCCATCCCTTTATGGCCACCATGTCCCCATCCTCTGATGGCTACTTCCAGCAGGATAATGCACCATGTCCCAAAGCTCGAATCATTTCAAATTGGTTTCTTGAACATGACAATAAGTTCCCTGTACTAAAATGGCCCCCACAGTCACCAGATCTCAACCCAATAGAGCCTCTTTGGGATGTTGTGGAACGGGAGCTTCGTGCCCTGGATGTGCATCCCACAAATCTCCATCAACTGCAAGATGCTATCCTGTCAATATCAAAATATCAATTTTTAACGTTAAATTATCCATAGCACATGACAGACAGAAGAGTGGGATGAATGGCTAAGGATTATGGGTAGGAATTTGTATGTTTACAGTGGTCCCACTTCTACTGTCTCAGGGTATAATAAACAAACTCTCTCATGCGCCATCTGTCCATCTCCTGGAGAGCCAGTAGTCCACTTCATTTTCTCTCCTGATGGCCCATTGGAGCTGCCATCAGATTCTTTCACCGTGACCTCATGGTGCTGGACAGACACTTGTGTATCTTTATCACCTTATTAAATTCTCACCCATCTATTTAGATCCCCAGAGAGTCCGAGCGGGATTGTATGACAAATGTGAGGAGAGGATATGATAGCGCTGTGGAGCAGTGAGGGGACAAAATGACCATGGAGCCATCCATTTTTTGCTCTAGCTCCTGCACAAACAAATTCAGTTGCTTTTTCAGTGAATGCTATCAATAAACATTGGGAATCTGAATGTGGCTTGTGTTGAGCATTGCCTCTTTTTTTACCACAATGCAGATTTCAGCCAGAAGGGATAGATGTCTTGCCCTTGACTCACATATTCAAACAAGAGCC